ACTGATGGAAGTGAGCATCACTGATGGAAGTGAGCATCACTGATGGAGATGGGCATCACTGATGCAAGTGAGCAAATTTTTTCATTCGATTTGGCCGCTTTCCAAACTGGGGTAACAGGCGAACAGAAACCAGCAGCAAGCAACTGAAAACTGGTATAAACTGTTATAAAAACATTTGGGCAAAAATAATAATTGGTATAAACTGTTATATTTCATTTTATGCATTTATACCTATTTGTTGCCGACAACAACAGCTTATGGCAACAACAACCTTTTTACAACAACATCCCTACAGCAGCCAATCCAAATTTCCGAACATTTCCATGCAAATTGCCCGTTTCCCAAATTGGGGTAACAGGCGAACAGAAATCAGCAGCAAGCAACTGAAAACTGGTATAAACTGTTATAAAAAGTCCAAGTTTCAAACCATTTCGGAGCCGGCGGAAGTAAGCGGAGACTCAAACCTTTTGAATCCAAATTTAGGTCTTATTTTACAACTGCACCTGGGCACACTGAAACTGATCGTCGTTAAATTCAAATTTGACAGTTAAATTCAAATTCGAATTTGGCAGTTAAAATATTAAAAAAAATTTTTAAATTCTAAAAAAATTTTAAAAATCTCTAAATAAATTTAAAATATTAGAAAAAAATTTTAAATCTAATTTGAGACATGAGCTTCTGGTATTTTATCAGAATTTTGGTATAAATTTTATGAAAATCGGACGACTATATCTTATAGCTGCCATAGGAACGATATGGAAAGTAATAGACAAAATTATAACTTCGTTGTTTTTCAACGTATTTTCATTTACTTTAAGACATGAGCTTATTTCAGAATTTTGGTAACAATATTATACAAATCGGACAACTATATCATATAGCTGCCATAGAAGCGATCCGTAGATGTAGAGAAAATGTAAAGCTGGGAATGTATAACTGTAACTTTCAAACTGTAAACATAATAAGTATAGGTAAAATGTTATGAAACTCTGTTTTGTGTCTGTTTTCGGCATTATAATTTATGATATAAATATGAAAACCAATCTGCAAGGGTATACAAACTTCGGCGTGCCGAAGTTAGCTTCCTTTCTTGTTTATATTAAAAAACTTCTTGATTTTTCTTAAATTAAAAATATCATAACTCGGCCAAAAGAACATTAATTTTAAATCGGAAAACTGTTCTGTGCCAGATTTTCTACAGTTAATAAATCTGCATACTTCATTTAAAAATTTTGAAAATTCAATTTTTTATCAAAATCAAAAATTTTAATGATGTAACCCCTTATCGAATTTCGCAAAAATGGCCAAAAAATCGATTTCTTCCGGACATGTCTAGAAAGATTTGCATGTTAATGCTGATCAAGAATATATATGGTTTATGGGGTCGGAAATGATTCCTTTACTTCGAAAATTATTATTTTGTATTATAAAATCGGATTTTTTATATTAAAAAACTTCTTGATTTTTTTAAAATTAAAAATATCATAACTCGGCCAAAAGAGCATTAATTTTAAATCGGAAAACTGTTCTGTGCAAGATTTTCTACAGTTAATAAATCTGCATTCTTCATTTAAAAATTTTGAAAATTCAATTTTTTATCAAAATCAAAAATTTTAATGATGTAACCCCTTATAAAATTTTGCGAAAATGGCCAAAAAATCGATTTCTTCCTTACATATCTAGAAAGATTCCCCTGTTGATGCTGATCAAGAATATATATACTTTATAGGGTCGGAAACGTATCCTTCACTGCGTTGCAAACTTCTGACTGCAAGGGTATACAAAGCTTTCCTGGTTTTCAGAAAATTAGTATATATTTAGCTTCATATTGTTAAACCTTAGAATACCAGCCAAAAGGTGCACAATCAATAGGTTCAGTATTAAAAATCTCACTTAACACTCTGCTAAAAAATCGATATAAAGTACAAACCACGAAAAAAAGGGTTAACAATCTCTAATCATTAAAAGCTGAATTATTTAGTAAGGCCGGTTATAGGCGGACATTTAATTTAGGTGCCCGACACTAGCGGGAAGCGTTCCTGCTGTCAGCGACTAATGAAATTTATGCATTTATGCTGGAGTGCTCGCCGGCTCGTACTCCTCCTGGCAGCACGGAGACAACGGCCGATGATCCATGTTAATGTCCATCAAATGTGCCAGGGACAGGGGGTAAAGCAGCTGTCAATTCGATTGTTGGACATGTCCACTTGTCCATGTTGCAATTTGCAATTAGCCGCACTAGCAACGGATATGGGTTGGGAATGGGAATCAGAATGGAGGAGGATGGAGACCAGATCCAAAGGATGCCCTGCAAGTGTCGCGATGCGCGTTTCCCGTGAGAAATTTCAATTATTTTAATTAGCGTGGCGATCGCGGTCGCTTTATTAGGCGAAACCGATCGATGTAAGCGCGTCCGCGGCTCTGCGGAGTCTGAATCCGAGCCCCGACCGCAGTATCTGTATCTCTCTTTGGCCAATTTCCGCTGCACGCAACGGCGACATCTCAGCCAGCGTCGCTGCCGGCAGCTCCGAAGCTGGAATGCCGAGTTGATAGCGAAGACAGTCGCTGCAGAACAGGATTCTGGCACTGGCACTGGCACTTGGGCATCTTCGCGGCCGCCTAATGACATGTTTTGGATAATGATGACGGAGGAGACCGGAGATACTGCGCCGAAGAGGAGACTGCTGGACTGGTCCGCCGAGTGGCGATAAAAAGCTGGAACTCGCCGGCCACTTGGAAAATTGCCCACAAGCGGCGGTCGTTTGCCGAGCAAATCAATCTGCATGCCAGCAGTCGGGGATTCGTTTAACCATGGGACCACCCGGCGGATGACTCTGTGTATCTCTGTCTGTCTGATGGACGATGGCCAACTGCAACTGCAAGTCCAATTCCGCGGATGTAACTGCGGGCTTAATTGGCCGCAGCGGTGTCAATTGCAGCGCCACCGCTGCCATCACAATGAGGGACCAATGACCACTGGACGACAGTGGCCAATTCCCTGGCCACCAACGGGGGAGCTGTACCTCTAGATGTAGCTGTAGCTGTGCCAGCATCTGTATCTGGCGAATGCGACTTGCTGACCAGCCAAGAGTGTCGCCCGCTGCGATTGGGAATGCCAATTTCAGCAATTAACAATGGCCATAAACGCACACAGTTGGCAGGTGAGTTACTTCGGTGTAAGCCAAAGTGAGCTAAGCCCGCTAAGCTCGCCGGATGTGAGATATCCAGATACCGGGAACAGGCACATGGCTCGGTTCCATCTACAAGTGGCTTACACATGCAGCTCCGGATTAGCCGAGTGTGAAGCGGAGGCGGAAACGATCTGAATCTGTATCTGAAGCTGAAACTGAAATTGAATCTCATGTCTGTATCTGTATCTCTTAATCAGATTCCGATTCCGTGCGGGCCAGTGACCTGTAAACAAAAGCCAAAGGCCGCTGTCGAACATTAATCAGCAGATCACCCCGCTCTTTGCACAGAGAAAAAAAGAGGTGAGCATAATTAGTCATAACTTTTGGGTTGTTTTTCATATAAAAGAAAAGGATTTACTATTTACTCCTAATTGCATATCTAACATTTTATTAGAGTTCAGTTTTAAAGGTATCAAGTTTTTATTATCCTAAAACAGGGTTTATTTACATACACTGGATATAAAATTCTAAATAAAATTGATAACCAGATATTTTTCTTTAAAAAATTAATAATTTTTTTACTTTTTTGATTAGAAATAGATTAGAAAAGGCACAAAAGATACCCCTAAACAGAAGGTATCCGCAAATATACATATATTTAAGATATCAACCTAAAGCTTTGTAAGTTTTCTTTTTAACAAAGAGTAGAAGAAATAGTAAACCATTACAAAGTAATTTCTGAAAAATTCAACAGCTAGGCACTTTAGGAAGCCTATTTTCAAGCCAATTTCTTTTTGTGTATCATAAAAATAGCGGCATTTAGGAAAACAAGACACGAGTCACACTGCTCTGTTGATCTACAAAGTATCCGTCAGATTGCCCTTTGGCGGAGCGACTTCACAGCTTCAGCACCAACTTCAACTTCAACTTCAATTTCGATTTCAAGGCGCTGCAATCGCTTGACTTGGGGCCTGGGAGGATGGGAGGTGGCGGTGGTTCAACGACTCGATAACAATACATTGTTGAAAGTAACTAAAGTATCCGCAGATCCAGCAGAGTGTTGGGCTCGACCTTGAGCGGGATTGACCGCTTAGAGCTCTTGAACACTCATTGAATTGGCTACGCCGCTCCAATCACGCACTCACTCTACTCACTCACTTCCTGGCCAATCCGCCGGGGCTTGACCCATTACGCGATGATGAGTTGCTGCCAAAACTCGAAGCAGCAATTCCGATTGCAGTCCGAAACAAAAGCGGATCGGCTGGTATGTGCCGTGCACTGCGACTCCGGGAATTCGGAAATAGACACGTTCCACGGCAGCGGCACATAAACACAAGTTTGATTGGTTACGAAACACGGGCGTTGAAATTAAAAAATGAAGACGTCGCCACCGCGCCACCTGAATTATTTGCAGCCCTTATCGAATAAGTACACAGAAGCTCGAATGAGTCGCGAAAACCAAATTAGAATATCACGGAGCAGCGGCAGCAGCCATTTTATGAGTCGGATGCAGATACAGATACAAAGATACGCGACGCACTCGCACAAACACACAGGTATCTGTGTATCTGCTGGAACGTCGTCCAGTTGCACGTCCATTCTAAAACTCGCTCGCTTGGCAGAAGCCTGAAATAAATATATATTGAACCGATATATTGGGCAAACGCGTTTTTTTTTTTTTTTGTAAAGCGTCGAGCGCCATTTCGGTCTCGGTCTCGGTCTCCCGCTCACCCATACGCATGCACGCCACCTGCGCAGCTATAGCACTCCGATCCGATACGATCCGAGGCCCTCACCTCACCTGGCTCGTGCGTCCGCCTGGCTTTCGCTTTCAGTTGCTGCTCGCCGCTGCCGCCGATTGGTGTTGCTTCTTGCTTGGATCGCGTCGTGTTGCTCCCGTTACGCTGTCGTGTTGCTCTCGTAACGCCGTCGTTAAGCCTTAGCCCCCGACGCGAGGATAATTTAGCTCCTTGCAGAGCAGTTAAAGGAGATTTGAAGATTTTAAGTGAAGATTTATTATTACTTCTGGCAGAAATTGCCAAGTGTTGCTGCTGTGTGTTGCTCCTGTAATATCTGTAACTCAAGGATAACTCCTTGGGAAAATGTGGTGAACTTTAAAGTCGCTATTAAATATAGCTTCTTAAGTAAAGCTTTGCAAAGTGTTGCTCCAGTACATCCTTAGCCTTAGGTTCCTGCCGTCGCTATTTTGCTCTCGTAACCCCGTCGTGTATACGTCAAGGATAATCCGCTCTTCTCAAACCTCGGGCATGAGTCCCAGCCAAGTGTAGAGTGCCTCTTGTGATTCCTCCAACCCCTTAACGAACATGGACACCGAACAGGATTCGAGTAACCACCGCGGTTCGGTGTCCTCTAGCCGTTCCCTCGAGATACCCGCCACACCGTCGCGTTCCCCCAAAAAAGTGTCCTTCTCGGATGAGCTGCCGCAATCCCAGACACCAGCCCAGCAGCCCATCCAGCCGCCAGCGACCACTGGTGTGAGTCACGTGCTCCAGCAGGCTGCACAGTATCTGGAGCGATTGCATGGAGCACGCGATTCTCCCCCCGTGGAGGAGGAGGTAGTGCAACCAAATAGTGATAGCGAGGAGAGCGAAGCGGCCGTTCTCGACTTGAATGATGTAGTAGATGCTGCCAGTGCAGATGAACCGGCGGCATCTATGGCCAAATCGCCCAGCATTCTAGTTGCCAGCGTTGGCAAGCAGGAAGCGATTGCCAGAGCGACTGCATCTACGAATGGAAATGGCAGTGGAAATGGAAATCCGAATCAGCGGCAATCAAATTTGTACATGGAACGATACAACCTCAATTTAGATAAGAACTGCAGCTCCATGGAGCTGGAGGCGCGCCGGGAGAAGCAGCGCTGGCTGCTCATATCCGAGTGCAGTGCTCTGTTCGACGAGGGCGAGGGCAAGCATACCAGGGAAGCCTTCCGCAAGCTCTTCCTGGATGAGGTGAGTGTTAAGTGGGGAGTTCCTAAGGGAAGAATATGAATAATATTTAAATCTTTTTGAAATTGTTAAAGATGGAAAACAATAAAGTTAAATTTGTAATATTATTAAAAGTAAAGTGAGTTCCTCCAAAAGTGAAAGAATATCCCAAATTTAAAAATAAAATCAAAGCCTGTAACAGAAGGTGTAAATGTACCCCGTGAAATCCCCTATCTAGATCCCATAAAGTATCAATAAAAAATCATGTATTAATAAGAAAACGAAGGCACTTGGGGAACACGATACCCACTCAACTCCGATCCCTCGATACAGATTTAAAAGCGATATATTGAGTTCTGTGAGTTATTAATTACATCAGTGCCAATGCAAAATGAGAATGCGAATGGGGAATGGTAATGGATATGGGTCTCCAACTCCGATCAATCCAGACTACTAAGGTGACCTTGTGCCACTTATTCTGTGGTCCTTTACCCGGTCAGCGAGCTGGCCGACCGATCGATCGTAAAACCCGTTTTTTGATGGGCTCAGCTTGTATTTACTTTGTTGCGGCTTTGGTTTCGGCCGCAAGTATTTTGTTTTTATGGGCTCCCCGAAAGCTGCCTAACCAGTCAGGGCTCATCCGTTAAATATGCACATTTTTCATCATCGGGAGATCTCCATCGCCATCGGCATCGGCATCGGCTGGCCAACTGTGACCAAATGCAAAAGATGCTGCCTGCCGCCGATGCGCTTTGAGTTTGCAGACAATGTGATGGGCTCCCATGATCGTGAGATCGAATGTCATTAAAATATTAATAAGCGGGTAATTTATGCCAGGCATTTGTCTCAATCACTGCCGCATAGTTAAGATTTGAATTGGATTCGATGGGGGATCGTGGGACCAGAACACCTCTGCCCCTTAATTATGCTCATTACGTGGTGATCTCCGCGAACCGCGAGCAGTGTAAACACTCTTTCGTGTATATAAATCTCCAGAGTGTGGGGTATAAACAAATGCTTCTCCAAACAATGCAAACACAGATGAGAGATAAATTAATTAACACTTTCACAGAAACGGAGACGCATAAATTCAGATCTTTACAACTTGTTTTTTTTTTTTTTTTACCAACTTGCTTACTTACAGGAATTCCAGCAGAAGCTCTTCCAGCTGTTCGATCTCGAGCGGAATGGCTATCTCCTGCAAGATCGCTGGATCGAGCACCTCAAGGGTCGTCTGACGTAAGTTTGGGTTTCACTACCATCAGCTCCTCTAGCTATATAAGCTCCTCTAGCCCTGTAAGCTCCTCCTCCTCCTCTGAGATCGCTGCTGCGACGGTGCCAAAACAATTAGCTCGCCTTGGAAAAAATAGCTATCCGATCCAGTCCGCTCCACTTGGATCCACACACGCACCTAGTTAAGAGCTGGAGAGCTGGCTGGCGTGCTCCAGGCATTCCAGCTGCGCCGACCAGAAGCCGCCGCGAATGCCTCTCGCCACCGATCCCAGATGCCAGCCTCGTTCCCAGACGCTGTCCGTTTGCCCATGGCGATGCTATCTGCGCCGTGTGTTAACATATACAACAGCTAACATAGTCCGCGTGCCTCGACAGCGGCTCTATGTTAGAGTTGGGTCTGGGACCGGGGACTTGGACTGGGATGGCGACTGCAGCCACAAACTGTCATTGCCTGCCTGTCGTAATGAAGTCATTCAAATACAAATATAGTGCGAGCAGCAGCAGCAGCAGCGACATCGGAGGCATCACAGGGTGCAGACGCAGATGCGGGGGAGAGCACGACCTGGTGTTGGGTGCACAGAAAAGAAAATGGTTGGTTAAATGAAGATGGAAATAAGTTACTTAACGGGAGTCAGTAAAAGATAATGAAGAAGTCTAAATAATAGCAATTTGATTCCTTCATAAAGTTGAGACTTCATTAAATTTGAATTTAACGAATTAAGGATAAAAAACCATCTCATTTCTTTCTGTACCTTAATAATTGAGGAAGTGGAAGAGTGCCTACACTTATTGGAGTACTTCAGTTTGAGTAAATCGTATGCATTCTTTTAGAGACGACCGCCAGATGGATTTTGCCGAACAGATCGAGTCGGTGGCCTATGTAATTTGCGGTGAAAATAGTCGCGTTAGCTTCAAAAACTTCCGCGACATCTGGCACACAAGAGGAGTGAGTGAATAACAATCCTTGTCAGATATTAGACTAACTCGAATCCTATCTAATCCCATGTATTAGATCTTGGATAAACTCTACCGGCTGATAGAGGTGGATGGCAGCAATCTAGTGTCCACCAACCAGGTGATGGAGTTCATCTCCCATTTGACCAACTCCCGTCCAAGGACGGGCTTTGACAAGAGTTCGCTGGCCAGGTTGGAGCAGCTCTTTCGCACCACAGTGGGTAACGAGCAGGAGATACGAAGGGAGGAGTTTCAGAAGATTGTGACCTCCAAGAATGTGAGTAACAATTTAAATATTTTTTTTTAAATCCTATATAATTCTCATAACTCTCTTTAGCCCTTCTTCACGGAGCGTGTCTTCCAAATCTTTGATAAGGACAACTCGGGCTCGATATCTCTGCAGGAGTTCATCGATGCCATACACCAATTCTCGGGACAGTCGGCGGATGACAAGATCCGGTTTCTGTTCAAGGTCTACGACATAGACGGTGAGTTTACATATGCGACTTTTGGGATCTATCAGTGTTTACCTTTTCTTAACTCACCAGGCGATGGTCTCATCCAGCACAAGGAGCTACACGACGTCATCAGGCATTGCATCAAGGAGAACGGCATGGAGTTCTCCGAGGACCAGATCGAGGACCTCACCAGCGCCATGTTCGAAGACGCTGATCCCCACAACAGCGGGGAGATCACCTACGAGGCGCTGAAGAACCAACTCAACAAGCATGGAGGCCTCTTGGAAAACCTTAGCATAACGTAGGATCTGGGGAAGAATTGAAATTTAAATTATTTTTAATAATTTAATTATGATTTGTAGGATCGACCGCTGGCTGGTGCCCATTGCCGAGGACCGGCAGGCAGGTGGAGCAGCCAGGAGCGGATTCTGGAGCTCACTGCCCCACCAATTGTCGCTGGCTTACATGAAGAACAACCAGGTCTTTGTCACATACTTGTTCTTCTACATAGCCGTCAATCTGTGCCTCTTCATTTCCCGCGCCATTCAGTACCGTGCCAGCAATGGGTTCGTCATCATAGCCAGAGCTTGTGGTGAGTCCTGCTTCACGCCGGAAGCCTCATAAAAACAGGAACTGAAAACCTAAACTAGGATCTTAATTCTCTGTTTCAGGACAATGCCTTAACTTCAACTGCGCCTGGGTCCTGGTGCTAATGCTGCGACACTCACTGACCTATCTGAGGGGTCGTGGTCTATCCTCATACCTCCCGTTGGACCATCATGTCTATCTGCACAAGCTAACGGGCATCACGATATCCGTGCTGAGCTTAGTCCACACAATAATGCATCTGTTCAACTTTTCGATCATCGTGATCAACGATCCGAACATCAATGCGGGACACTACACCATCGGAGAGTGGTTGCTCACGGATCGGCCGGGACTCTTTGGCCTCATTCCGGGCTGTGCGAATCCCACGGGAGTGGCTCTGCTCGCCATCCTGATGGTGATGTTCGTTTGCTCCCAGCCCTTTGTCCGGCGGAAGGGCAGCTTTGAGGTCTTCTACTGGACCCATCTGCTATACGTGCCCTTCTGGGTGCTGTGCCTCTTCCACGGACCGAACTTCTGGAAGTGGTTCATGCTGCCGGGATTGGTGTACATTGTGGAGCGGGCGCTGCGCTTTATTTGGATGAAGGGTGAGCACGGAAAGACCTACATCAGTTCTGGCCTGCTACTACCCTCTAAGGTTGTACACTTGGTCATCAAGCGGCCGCTGCACTTTAACTTCCGGCCCGGGGACTATGTCTTTGTGAACATCCCAGCCATTGCCAACTACGAATGGCATCCGTTTACTATTAGCTCCGCGCCGGAGCAGGAGGACTACATGTGGCTGCACATACGCACCGTGGGCGAGTGGACAAATCGCCTGTATCGTTACTTTGAGAGGGAGCAGCAGAAACTGCAGCAGGGCGGCTGCTCCCAAGAGGTGAACCAGCACATGCACGCCATTCCCACGCCCAGTTTCATGCTCCTGAACGAGGCCCGTAATCCGGCTATGGCTAGCGAAAGATCCTCTACTCCGCAAACGGATTTCCTGGCCAAGAATCTGGCTGTACAGGCGGTGCCGCCAGTGCGACCTCCTCGCCAGAACCGCAAGCCCGTGGCAGGAACTGCTCCTGATCCGCCAGCCACAGGGGTGAACCGCATTCGGAGCATCAAGAAGAGTCTGCAGCGTACTTTCTCCAGGAAGGAGACGGCTGAGCCCAAAAAGGGCACGCCCAACGGGGCTTTCCTAGCCGACAGCGAGCGCGAGGACTCCAGCCTAAAGCAAAGACCCCTGGAGAAGAGCATCTCCCTGCCGGACATCAGTGTGAAGAGCAAGAAGCGCAGTCGTCTCAAGGCGTAAGTATTTATTCAGGTAAAGCTTTCGCCAGATACTCACAATTAATCCATAGACTTCGTGCTCTGGGCCGTTCCGAATCCGAGTCCGCCTTCGATGAAAAGCGGGTACGACGGGCCCGGAACAACAGCGTGGGATTGGCCTACCTCAGCCCGCAAAACAAGTCGCTGGCGCAGAGTTTCCGCTACATGCGCACAAAGCCCACCATAATCGCCTTCAAGACGCCCAGCATGGAGGAGCGGGAGAACCAGCTGGCAACGGGAGAGGTCATCGGTGGAAGCCCAGCCAGCAGGGCAGAGCAGGGTATTCCTGTGGGTGCCAGGATGGACTCAGGTGATAAGTTGCAAATGGCCAGGCTCAGTCTGGCCGCCGAGGTGGCCTCCAAGCCACTGGAGGTAAGTGATTGGTAGCTGAGACCCTCTTGAAAACTAACCCATCTGAAACCACTAATGCATATTCAACAAAAGGATCAAGTACAGACGGCAGGATCGGGCAGCAGAAAGTCCATTCTGCGGCGTCCCACTTTCCTGCGCACCCTATCCACCTCCATAAATAACAGATCAGGCGGAGGCGGCGGTGGAGGATCGACTGGTAGCTCCACAAATAACAGCGGTGGCAAGGTCACACTCGATGCGGGCGTCATGGAGGTGCGGGTTTACACCAAACATACATACACTTGGCCACCTAGGGCTAACCCACTAACCCTTTGCTAATGTTCATTGCGTTAACCTCCTCGCAGATCTTCATCGATGGTCCGTATGGGGCACCCTCAAGTCACATCTTTGGGGCCCAGCACGCGGTGCTCATTGGCACGGGCATCGGAGTCACACCGTTCGCATCCATCCTTCAGTCCATCATGCATCGGTACTGGAAGGCGCGCCACAGCTGTCCGCGGTGCCAGTTCGAGTGGGCCAGCGAGATACCCAAGTCTGTGATGAACCTGCGCAAGGTGGACTTTTTCTGGATCAATCGGGACCAGCGCTCCTTTGAGTGGTTTGTCAACCTGCTGTCGCAGCTGGAGATCGAGCAGGCGGAGCTTGGAGGAGCCATGGAGCGGTGAGTACGCCGAGGAAGTATATCTTAAGCTTATTTGACTTGTGGACTATTTATAGCTTCCTGGACATGCACATGTATATCACGAGTGCCTTGCAGAGAACAGATATGAAGGCAGTGGGCCTGCAACTAGCTTTGGATCTGCTGCACGAGAAGGTAACCTCCGGGAAATCTACATGGACTGGCATTCTAAAAAGCTCTTGTTCTCTATCCCTTCCAGGGAAAGCGGGATCTAATTACGGGCTTGAAGACCCGCACCAACGCCGGCCGCCCCAACTGGGACAAGGTCTTCAAACAACTGCAGGCCCAGCAGAAGGGCAAGGTCACCGTCTTCTACTGCGGCCCACCTCAGTTGGCCAAAACGCTGAGATACAAGTGCGACCAGTACGGATTCGCCTTTCGTAAGGAGTGCTTCTGAACAAGCCACATTTCTCGTTCCAAGTCCACCTCTTCTTCCCTCATCTCTGTATCCCTCCTTCATTGTGTTCTCATTTGCATAAGCAACGGGTTTATTTTCGGGTTTCGGTTCGGTTTAGCTTAGCTTAGATGGCTATTTATTCGTCACTTGTCTCTTGTTGCCTCCTCATTGTCGAGCGTGTCCCCGTCCCCAACATGTAAATATCTATATCTATATGTATTATCTATGCAATAAAGTTTGTTACCCAATATGTGTGCCGTCCCAGCTCCCGATTGCATCAGGATCAGCAGGAGAGTACATTGTCAGCATCTTTGCAGGCGGCTCCGAGTTCTACATTTGATGTCCACCTCCCCCCGTTCGCTTGAAAAACCATTTTACAATTCGGAAAGTCTAATAAATAAAACAAGAACAAACATACATAGCTGAGCTACCTTGAGAGGTAGAGCGTTTACACGGCGATTCACTGCTTCAGCCAGGTGCTAAAGTTGATGTCACTGGGCCTGGAGACGCGAGCAATGGTAATGGTCTCGTCGTCAATGTTGTCCACGTTATAGAACTCCCTGAGCTCGGCTATGGCCGTCTCCTCAATCTGCGTATGAACTAGAGATTTGTTGCGCATCCGTTCGTATGATTCCCTTTGCTTTCGCTCCTCGGCCAGGATGCGCGAGAAACTCTGGCCCTTCTCTGTGGGCGTTGTGGCAGCAGCAGCTTGCTGACCCCTCATCATGTTGGCAAACGAGGTGGGATCCGTGCTGCTGCCAGTGGTCGGGGAAACGAAGGCATCGTTAAGCGAACTCGACGGCGTGGCAGTGACACCCCAGGCATTCGGAATGGCCACTGGAGTGGAGGACTGCTCAACTAGTGGTGGATTATTGGAACGCCAACTCTTTGATTCGGAGGAGAGACGCTTTCGCTGCTTCTGGGACAACTTCTGCGACTGGGGAGTGAAGTAACTTAAATCGAGATTGTAGCTCTTGCTAAGGGGTGTGCCGGGTTCCGTGCCAGGAGACAAGGGAGGTGGTGTTTGCTCCTTCACGGGCGTCCTCTCCATGGCCACTAGTGCAGGCGCCGGTGGCTCCTCCTGCTTGAGAGTGTTGTTAACTTTCAAAGCCGTCTCGGCCTGCTTGCGTTTCTGTTCTTTTTTGTCCACCACCCGTGACCAGTTTTTAGCCTCATTGTAAGCAGTTTCCTTGGGAGATGCAGGCACCTCTGCAGCCTCACTGATACTTATGGATCTCATCATGCTGGATATGGCCTGCTGTTCGTAATGATGGCGGGCATCCTGCTTGCGCAAGTCCTTCTGCTTATGCTTAGCAGCCTGCCTGAGTTTTGACTCCTGAAAAAAAAAAACATTAGAAAAACGAAAAGCCAAGCTCCGGTCAGCCACAAACCGCATCCATTCGATACTCCAGATCCACCTCGCAATCGTCCACGAAGCTGAGCAGCAGCTCATCTTCTATGGCCTCCGAGAAGGGCGTGATCTGCCGGTAGTCGAAGACCCTGCTGAACATCTTTCGGTAGTGCTCGTTCAGGCACTTCAAAGTCTCACCATCGCACTGCTCTATGCTGCGGTAGCAGAGCACCCTGGCCAGGTTCTGGCAGATGAAATCCATGCATCCCCTTTGCAGCAGCTTGCAGTTGTACATGGCTGCAAACTCCAGCATCTCGCCGCACTTGCGTATGCTAATCTTGTCCAGAATTAACAGCTCGCACACATTCTGCAGCGACTCGATAAAGTACTGATCGCAGATGGTGGTCATGTTGTAGAGGAACGTCTCCAGGTAGCCCTGCTTGCAAAAGGTCTCGGTTTCCAGGCTGTAGAGATAGTCCAGCACAGGCTCCATATACTCCGAGGGCACTCCCTCCATGGTCACCGAGGAGCGCTCCGCCCACATGTGCATGAACATCATCTCAAAGTACTCCAGCCGGGCCACCAGCATGCACTTGTGGGCTTCCAGTACCTTGCCGTCCTCGCACACAATCCGCACATCGTAGAGCTCTGGGAAGTCGGAGCGATGCAAGCGACTGAAACGCTGCCGGGCATTGGGCAGTGGGAATTGATGATCAAGCACATAGCTCTGCACATACTTGGCCAATTCCACCATTTGGAACTTTTCCAAATGTGGCAGGAACATCTCGCAGGCGCGTCTTCGGTCCTGGGGATTCGCCGGGCCCAAACTCTGCTGAATGCAGTCGATATCTAGACGGGGAAGATGTGAATACTAAATAGATTCTTTAGAGGACTTGTAAGCCTCAACTCACCATCCTCGGTGGGCCAGTAGCTAGAGTAGATATGCTTGAGGACCAGTTCAAACATCTTTCCCGTTAAATGCTCCAGGTTGAGGTAGATATCCTTGTCCAGATAGCAGCGTATTAGCTCCCTGAGCCCCGGAGCCCTGCTGTAAATGATGAACTTGTGGGCGGGAAACTTATCGCCGTCCACATGGAACACCACATCGTGGACGGCATCGCAGTCGCTGGTGTCGTGCAGCAGCTTTTTGAAGCTGTGCTCCCTGCGTGGCAGTTGGGGCTTTCGGAAGTACTTGCTGTGCGACTCCTGGAGTACAGCAAACGAGGAAAAGCCCTCGTCGCAGTATATATCCTTGGCTCGGTCTATGTTGGGCACACGCTGCAGTTCGATGCGGATAACATGCTCCCGGGAGATTTCCGTCTTATTCTGATCATTGTTTTGCCAGATGTCCAGGTTGGGCCTGGACCGCTCCTCCTGCAGCGCGGAGGCGGGCAGAGCGATCTGATTGCACTTGCCGCGATAAACACAGCCATTGTCGGAGAGAACCAACACCTGATTGCATTTGTAGAGGATTTTCTTAATCTCTGGGAGCCGGATGGGCGAGAAATCGCACCTGCAAAGGAAAGTAACGTAAAGACCCTAAGGATTTCAAGTTATTTCAGGGACTTGCCTATAAAATTGCTGTGTATTCTCGTACCAGAGATACACCACATTGGTTTCAGTGAGCATCAGGAGCTTCAGAGCTGCCGCCGAGCCCTTGGCGGAGTTTTTCAAATGGCCGCCCATCACCGATATGCTCTTGAGATCCTCGTAGCTGAAGTTGGAAATATATTTCCATTAAGTTTCTTGGAAACCGCTAGGGAAGCTTACTTGGGCGTCTTAATGTATCTAGTCTTATCGGCGTAGAAGAGCGTTATCATCTTCTCTTCGCTGTAAATTACCGTGGCTGCATTGTTAGCCTCTACAAAGCGAATGGTGGTCCTAGCTGGCAGCTTGATCTGCGCGAGAAAAAAGATTAGTTTTATCTACATAGAAGCGAGTACAACTCACCATTGTGGGAACCATAATGCTCGGCGTGTTAGCACTGATGCCAAACTGACCCTGATTGGCCCCCCAGACGTAGACACACCTGCTGCCGTAGGCTATGGAGTGCTGATCGCAGGCAATCACGCGCATGAGGTCGCTGGCACCCTTGTCACGCAAGGCGACCACTTCTTTGAACTGGGCGAGGTGCTCCGGTGCGTCACGCACGCCCAGCTGATGGTCGCTGTTGAGGCCGCAGGCGAAAACCAGCGAGCGGTGCGTGAGCACCAACGAGTGTTGGCGGGAGACACTGATGCAGCGTATGGAGTCATCGCCCAGCTTGGAGGAGACCTTCACGCGCTTGGGTGCTGGCAGGCTGTTCTCCACTCCGATGCCCAGGCGACCACCCTTGCCGTGCCCCACGGCGTACAGGTGCCCCTTCTTGTCGCAAAACAGACTGTGATAGGGGCCCAGGGCAACCTGTTCCAAGTAAATGCTGGACTTGCGGAAGAAATCCACGACTTGCGGCGCATTGGTGTTCTGCTCGCTGCCTACGCCGAGATTGTAGTTCTTGTTGGAGCCCCAGACCAAGACGTCGTTTCTGGGGAGAGATTAGATAGCTGGTTAGATTGAAACCCTATCAATCAATACATCTCCCCGAACTCACTGCGAATCTGTGGCCAAACCATCGTCGTCGTCGCACTTCCGGCAAATGGCCTGCAGGGGACACCTTGTGTCCTCGTCCAAAAGTTCCATGCTGGCGCCATACCGCAGCAGCAGCACGGCACAGTCCAGGGAGCCGTAGTACAGGGCTCGGTGAAGTGGACTACTGCCAGACTCGTAGTCCTGGCCGTTGATGTAGGCACCGTGGTTAAGCAGCCACTCCAGGATCTCGTACCGCCCCGTCGAGGCGGACATGTGTACCGCCGAGCGGCCCTGCGGCAAGGAGGAAGAGGAGGATTGGCGTTGGACAGCTGTCGCCCTATTTCACCACCTTACCAGGTCATCGAGAATATTGGCGAAATTGCCGCAAGTCTTGAAAATGAAAGCCGCCAGCTTCTGGTTGTCGATTGAACGCTTCGTTAGCGCCGCTGTGATGCTGTTGCCATGCTGGCGGTGTCTGCACTTTGTGGTGCAGTCATATTCCTGGCTCCTAGCTGCTGACATCCGGATAATTATAAATAATCGCCGTCGAATTGAACCTTTTTACGTGGATTGTTGTTTTGCTTGCGGGGCAAGTGTGACCAGGTGGGTTATACTTTTCCGGTTAGACACTGAAATTTTGTTTCCTCCTTCGGTACGAATTTTGTATACCCTTTTAGTCCACATTGGAACATTAAGAATCAATCCATTTTGATGAAAAGAAAATAAAAACCTAATAGAATAGTGAGAAAAGTCAGAAGACTACTTGCTAAGTTTCATTCATTCACTCCTTTGCAATCTCCTGACCTAAATTATAACACCCTGCAAGGGTATAATAAAGATTTCTCACCTTTAAAATGGATACACAATTTAAAAATGTATGAAATAATAAATATAGGCATATAAAATTAACATTTTTTTTAATAGTTATTGGCATATTCCGTAATATACAACCGTTTTCAAGGTATATATACTTTTTAAGGGTCAGTTTCCCAATATGGAAATACATGTTATAGAATCGAAATAAAAACTATACTAGATAGTAAGCCTTTTCGATAATTTAAGGTGACGAATAACCTTAACCGAATGTTCCTTTAGCCTAAAACTAATGATGGTTCAATGTTTGCTTAAATAAACTCATAATTTTCAGCTTTTCCTTAGCGCTGGAAGGCGCAAGGATCGCTTTTTGATTATGACGTTTTCCTTAGTTTCTTGTTTCTCCTTAATGACTAAACCGCCGGCGATTGAGATGGATTCATCCTTCCGAATTATGGAGTAAACACAGACTTCGTCCGATGCAGCTCTGGATGGCGTGTCGAAGTTGCGAACTCGCGGCACCGATTTGGGCTTAGGCTTACAAATGCCCGACAATTTAATATCTTCGAATTTCTGCTTGATGGGACTGGTAAAGTTGCGAACCCAAACTTTTTTCTGTGGCTGCAGGATCTTGTCTGGCCGGTTCTTTGGCGCGGGCGGGGGCAGAGCCGCAGGCGCTGGATCCGAAGCAGGCAGAGGGACTTGATCGGGTGACGGGGAGGCCTGCCTTCCTACACGAGGATCATAGGGAGGAATTTTACCCTATAATAGAAAATCGAAGTCTTTATACTGATACTGATTAATCGTTGAGACTTTATCTACCATGCAAATATGAAGTTTTTGGGCTTTTGATCCGTCATGAATGAGCAAACCGCATTGACATTCCTCGTAGCCGAAAATCCTGTAGACAGGACCCGGTCGCCTGATGCTGAAGCACTTTTTGGCATGGCTGAAGGGCTTTTTCAGCGAGGACATATCTATTCCACAGGCGGGACACTCGGATTGCTTGACAATGTCTTCAGGTGTGTAGCGAATGATCTCCCGGGGTTCCATTTCGATTTTACTTTACTTAGTTTCCAATTGAAAATAGTAGAAACGGCTAAAAGGAAGAAAATAAATATGTAAACAAATGTTCTCAAGTCGCTGGTCACCATATTATAGCAGCTTACCACTAGGAGAAGTGCTTTTCGGATAGCAGGATAATTTCTTATAGCTGATATAGCACGGGAACTGAATATTTATTTGATTAATGCTATATATTCATTGTAAATCGTTAATAATAATAAAATATCAACCGAATTATAGTCTAGAGAGACCAGATTCGATTGCTTTGGAAATACACACACTTAATCGGTATCATATTGTTATCGCCTATCGGTAATCGATGCTATTGTGACTGAAAACAGCTGGCGTCCTGAGTGCAACTGCGGCTTTAAACAAATTAGTAAATAAAAAAGTGCATTTTATACAAAAATTCTTAGATGGCTAGCAAGCCCACTTAACCCGGACCACGCTTCACAATGGGTAAGACCTTTGGGAGCCGAGAGGCAGCCCGCGAAGCCAAGAGGAGTGCTCCTCCCAGCCTATGATGCCACAATTTGACATTTAACTATTTAACAATAGATTCCTCTTCCTGCTGCTTACTCTGCATGTGCGAGTATCCGGCGATGATGGGCGACTACATAGACGTGCAGTCCGCCAGGGCGTTGCAACTGGATGTGGCCAGGATTGTCAACCAGCACTTCCCCTTCCAGATCTCCCAGGAGAGTCGCGAAAGGATCTGCGGACGCTGCTGGAAAACCGTGTCCGACTTTCACACACTGCACGAATTCGTGAGCCAGGCACAGAACTCTTTGCAAGAGACGAAGGTACTGCTAATGGAGGATGATCCGCTCACCCAAGGCACTTCCTCCTTTCTGGCTGAAGCCGCCAAAGTGGCCACCAGTGAAGAGCAGCCTTTGCAGGAGGCGTCGGAACTTGGCGGACGCAACTTCTTTTACCCGGAGGTGAAAATAGAAGAGCACGAACTGGATCACTTGCCGAGAATAGAAATTTTGGAGAGCACGGCCAACTCACAGACCACCCCAGACCAGCTGGAAGCCCCGCCCAGACGCCTGAGGAAGCGCTTGAAGGCCGAGGAGGACTCCTTACCAGATCCTGAGGTAATAGAGGAGCCTGTTGAGCCCACGCCGCCCAAAAAGCGTCGTGGACGTCCCCGCAAAGCAGATTCCGCCACAGCAATTCCCCAGAAACCAAAAGAAGACATTGAACTCAATCTAAAGTCCGAAGAAGTCGACGAGTTTGCCGACGAGGACCCGGACTTCTCCTGCAACCTGGACGACGGCCTGGTGCCCAGCGATAATTCATCTGAGGACGACAACTACGGAGGCAGTGGAGGAGGCTTCGACTCCGATTCGGACTTCGAGCTGGACAAAGAGGGGAAGCAGGAGTTCGCTGTGCTGCCCAAGCGAACGGTGGTGCGTCCGAAAAAGTACAAGAAGCGCACGAAACCGGCGGAGCCGAAGGTGCGCATGTCCCGCGAGCTGCTGGAGCAGCGCAAGAAGCAGCAGGAGGAGTACGACACCATCATTGCCAAGTTCTTTACCAGCGTGCTGCCGTGTCCGCTCTGCAACCTGATGGTGCACAACTTCACGGAGATGCAGCGCCACCACCGACTGACTCACCAGGTGGATCCCGGTTACATGATGTGCTGCGGCCGAAAGTTCACGCAGCGCAAAGTGCTGGCCGAGCACGTGCAAGTGCACTGGAATCCAGATCACTTCAAGTGCAGCGTATGCGAGAAGTCGTTCCAGAACTCGCGGCACCTGGAGTCGCACCAGCAGGTGCACCTGGATCCGGCCATCAAGCTAACCTTCAGCTGCGACCTGTGCTCGAAGACCTTCCTTAGCAAGACGGCCATTGACTATCACAAGCTGAACAAGCATGTGCCCAAGTCTGAGTTCAAGTTCACCTGTTCCGAGTGCAATAAAAAGTAGGTCTAATCTCGGCTCCTTAAGACTCTTGACTAACCTCAAGCCATTCCAAACAGATTCCTTACCGAACGCAAGCTGAAGAACCACATGAGCTCCATGCATGACCCGGAGAGCACCATTATCTGCGACAAGTGCGGCAAGCAGATGCGCACAAAGATCATCCTAAAGAAGCACCAGGAGCTGATGCACTCGGACAAGCCGCGCCCGGAGCCGGAGCTGAAGCAATGCCAGATCTGCGGAGCCTGGCTGAAGGGCATGACGGGACTGAAGCAGCACATGAAGAGCATCCATGTGGAGAGCGTGGGTGAGCATCGTTGTCACATCTGCGCCAAGGTGTCGCCGAATGCTAGGGCCCTGAGGCGTCACATCTATCACAACCACGAGTGCGAGCGAAAGTTCAAGTGCACCATGTGCGAGAAGGCCTTCAAGCGGCCGCAAGAACTGAAGGTAGTTACAGGAAACCCACTTTTTGTGTAATTTAAGATCGTAACCTCTTGTTTCCCTGCAGGAACACACTTCCACCCACACGGGCGAGGTACTCTACACCTGTCCCAACTGCCCGATGACCTTCTTCTGCAGCGCCAACATGTACAAGCATCGCCAGCGGCTGCATCGCGCCCAATACGAGGCGGACAAAAACCAGCCGAAGCCACCGAATATCCTAAAGATTTCCCGTAACGCCTCCGCGCACACGAAAATCTCCAAGCAGGAGATGTAGCCCCCCAACGACGGTTCTCCCTCGCACGGAATTTGATCTTATACAAACATTTGTAATTGTCCCCTTATACAGCCTAACTTATTACTTTAATTATTTTTGTTCTAATTATAGATTTAGTTTAATGTTTAAGACGATCAAAGTCCGTGCAAACCCACACATTTGGTAATTTAAATGTAAGATTAAGAGATAAATAAAAGCGACAACAAAACAACAAGTTGGGAATGTCTTTCTTTCTTTATAATTATTTACAAGGATGGCTTAATTGCACCTTATATAGAACGCAATGACATTTACATGGTTTCTTTCGTTTCATTCGTTTTTACACATAGTATGAATAACTTTAAAATATTTTTATATATATATAGGTAGATACTGTATCTCTCTCACAAACTGAAAAAACTTTACATACGAGTAGAATATTATTGTTCACTTCTCCATCGCCATCTCTCGCAAGCTAGCAGAACCATAAAACGCTCGATAGGTTCTCCTCAGCGCACATGGGATTATCAGCGGTTAGTATGCAAAGACAGCGAGAGCGGGTTTCAACATTTATAAATACAATACTTGCGTTAATTAATTGTGTTTGTCTTTACTCGAAACGTTTTGCGACACCATCTTAAGCTTATTTTGGACATGTTTCTTTTAGTATATCGCTGGTGGTTAGTCACGGATACGAATACAGGATTCCAAGCACGAAACGAGACGAAAGTGTTCATTTTAAAACGAAGTGTAACTCAAATGTTTATTTGTATAGCTACCAAAAAACAAACAAAAATGGAGAATCAAAGCCGAGGCGGCTTCAGCGACAAGACAATGTGTGTGTGTGTGTTTAAAATGTGTGTAAATTTGGCTACGGGTTAAACATTCTGTTCATCATTCATCGAAAGCCATTAAGAACAAACATAAAATACTGTTTAGCAAACTGAAGAGGGACAAAGCACAATCGGGGAATAATTGCAAACGTTTTTTCATGACTTGGTACGGTTGACAGAATTTAACGGCAACGCGCAACAAAAATAACAACAATAATTAGATAACAATGACTAAAATTATTTAAAGTATTCTATTAATTTTGTTTCATTTGATGTCTGCGAATGGTTCAGCTGATTTTAAGTTGGTTTCTCTGTAGAGTAAAGTATATTTTGTGTGGCTGGATGCTAGGATGCTTATGCAATGTTGGGGGCTTTAGATCTTGGCCTGCTCCACCATGTCGATATTGACCTTGTAGAACACATAGGGATAGTATTCGGACTGACCGAAGCCCAGGCCGGGGATATCCACGTTCTGTTTGAAATAAATTCAAGAAAATTTATTAATTTAAGAAGGATTTTGGGGTCAAATTCAAAAGGTAAACTTACATCAGCACTGCTGACTTGACCGCCGGCGGAGGCGCCATCCAAATGGCCGTAGAGCTGGTTGAGCACATCACGCAGACGCTTCACACTCTTCTTGTTGGGCTCGATCAAGATGGCCTGGAAGTTAACGGGCAGGCCGTATCTGTGTGTAAACACAAATTTATTAGTAACTATAAAATCTCTTGGAAATGGAAACCTAAAGCTTACCTTAGCACAGATTCCACGAAAACGCGCAGAGCCTTCACGTGGATCAAGGCGCAGAAGGCCTCACTGAAGTTCACCTTCAGCCAGCGCACCAGGGGACCCTGTATATTAAATATTAATTAGAATTTCTCCCTCTGAGAAGAACTCCTGCCGAGTGATCTACTCACAAACTGCTTCTTCTTGTCCGTCATCAGCTTGGTCATCTCGTTCTTGCCGGCGGCCAGCTCCTCCTCGTTGTAGACAAAGTCGCGTACAATGAACTTGCGCTCACGGGCATGGAGCTTGAATTCCTCAGCCACCTTCTTGAAGAGCGTCACATTGAACAGACAGTAGTCGCTGTCCTCCTGGATGAGCTGCGTGGAGCGGGGCACGATCATGTCCGTGATCTTCTCGTAGTTGGTCAGCCAGTCGTTGGCCATAACCCTTTTTGAGGGACAAGAAAGGCAATTAAATATTTAAGAAAATAAAAAATCAAACCGAAACTCACTTGGGCACGATGACCAGCAGAGTGGTCAGGTACTCAGAGTCCAGGATGAAGTGCTCCTTCTTGACCAAATCAGCCAGATTCCTGGTCAGCAAGCTGCCACTGTTGTGGGGGAAATAAATTAGGTAAATTAAGTAAATATTATGGTAAACCATTCCCTTCCACTTACGTCTTCTTCTTTTCCAGGTTCTGCAGATTTCCCTTTAGGTTATTGTAGGCCTGCGACTTGGTCTTCAGATCTCCATCGATCTGGCCAATCTGCTTGGAGATGATGTCGGCGATGTTGCGCAACGACTGCTTGATCGGGTACTTGGCCATGTCCCATTGGAAGCGGGTCAAGTACTGCGGCAGTTCGGCTATATTAAATCGAAGGAGATATTGTTAGTGAGGTCCGTAAGGCACAAGGCTTCGTTCGAGATAGTTGACTTAGTTGGCTAGCAGGAACACAAACAGGTTGTGGTTCCCATTAATGTTTAAGTAAGTACAAAACGAAATCAAAAAGAATACATAGTAATTGATCTAAAAGTTGTATAGAATTAGTTGGAAGAAAACTATAGGCTCGGAAGCTGATATAAATTAGAGTCGTACAAAAAAACTATAAAGGTAACTGAAAAAAATGCTGGTTAGTTGTTCACATAACATTACAAATATATATATATATATATAAGGGAATACTCAGACACACACACGCTTACACACAGGATATATAAATATTAGGTTTTTAAGATTAAAAAGTAACAAATTCGGGATGCAAATACATAGGCTACGGGGTTTAGGGGGATTGGGACTACGCATATTAGTCGCAATTGGAAATACCTTTCGTGTCACACGGCAAAACACTTTAGCTGGACTTTGAAAACATAATGCTGTGTGTGGTAATTATAGATACTCTATATAGACACTCAAAGGTAAAATAAAAATGCGAACAAAGCAAACACAGTAACTCATTTGGCGCTGGGCAAAGCGGCTTTTATTTTATTTTTATTGGTGATTGGTTGGGTGAGATATATAGCAGATATAGCTTAATGGAAATCGGCGTTAATCGTGGCTGTAATGATGTGGAGCGCAGAACAACATTTGGTTGGTGATTTTGGTGGTGAGCGTACACTGAAAGAACAACATAATCGCTTTTACACTTTTACACTGGTACAAATAATCAACGGATCCGTGGTGTGTGTCTTTTTTTTATACAAATATCATAGAATCATATCGAAATATCGCCAGAAAGCAAAACGAAGCGCAAACAAAAGGTGTTTGCAAATATATATATCGAATATACATATAGTATATATATGGTACAGAGAGAAAAAGGAGAGTGAAAGGCAAATCAAAAGTGGCGAAAGTAGGAGAACTTCAAAACGATCACTTGGCTAAATAGTTGCTTCAACAAAAAGATAGAACAGAAAGAGTCCTCTGCAATTCACTTCCGAGAGTGGACGACGTCAAAGAAAGTGAGTGGAGAGAGAGGCGGTGGTGGTTGGTGGGTGGTAACACATCAAGTTGCTCGGGAAAACAATAATTGGAAAATCAGAAAGAAAAACGAAATGAAACGAAACGAAACGGAAGGAACGGAGGAGAGCAACGGCAACATCAACATGTACATACACTTATAGTAGGTATATGTCAACGTCGATCACGATCCGTAGGATCGCGATCTGCAAAGAGTGTCGGGTCGTGGACCAACCCAGGCATGCTAACCTGGACTCAGCGGAAATTCGGGCGGCTCGGCGGGATCCGTGTCCGGACTGGATCGCCCCTGGCTACTACTGCCACAACAACTACTCACTGGAGACGATCTATGTGTTGGTGTTAAATTAAATCCATTGTTTATATTTAATTGACTCGGTGTAGAACGTTTGCTATAAATTTGATCGGCAAGAGAATTGAAGAAAGAGCGATAACTAGAGCGCGGTGTGGTCGATGCTTGATGCCAAAATGTCATTGCTTTGGATAGGTGTTGTTGTGGTGTCTGTTGGAATAGTGGTGTCTGTGTTGTCTGTTGGTGTATCGTCGTTGGCTGTTGCTGTGCTGTCTGTTGGTGTCCTTGTGGAGTCTCTTGTTGTTGTGACTGTGGTGTTTCTGTATTGCGTTGTGCACTGTCGTTGTGGATTGGTGAATTTGCGCATTGGTGTATTGGTGAGCGGGTGGCAAATGTGCGATTGTCGATGGAGTGGGAGTGATTTAAAAAAGAAATACATTATTATTGCATTTGACTCGGTTTTCGGTTCTTAATCAACTCAAACATTTATGGACTTTCAGGACTTTCGTTTTACTGGTATGTGTGTGAGTGTAATTTTGGATGAGAGCAGGCAAAGCGGGTGCACCATTGTTTTAGTGTTATTTGTGTGGTGTTGTTGTATCTTGTGTTTTTACAGCAGTGTTTAGTGTTGTGTTTTTTTTTTTGTTTGGTTTTGTTGGCTAGCTTAGCGGGATGACAGCGGGTGACTGGCTTTTATATATTTATTTTTTTCTGTTTTTCGTTTATTTTTGTTTATCTGGGGTGCTGGCGATTTGGCAACGTTCTACAAAGTAGGTAATGCGATGATAAGGTACCTGCTCTTTTTAGAGTTACGCTTGGGCTTATTGAACCACCAGTCGAAGGTGTCCGACAGATCGGACTGCACACTGTTCGGACTCTTGGGATCCTCGCCGTCCGTCTCCCCATCATCGGGAGCCGCCGCATCGCCCTCGTCCTCCGATACGGACTTTTGCGTGGGCGATTGCAACGGATTTGGCTGGGAGTGATGATGCCCTGGAGGCAGCGGATGATGCAGCTGATGATGCGACTGATGCTGCTGATGCGTGGGCAGGTGCAGCTGGCTCACGTGGCTGCCGCTGCGGAAGCTGAGCTTGTTATTGTTGATGCTGCAAGTGTTGTTATTCAGCCGCTTGCTGTTAGATCGCGACATGCTGCTGTGCACCGAACTGCTGGTCGTTGGCGCCGACGTGGAGAAGTAGGCCGAGGAGCAGGCGGAGGAGGAGGCCACGCCACCAGTTGAGGCTGCCGCTGCCGCGGCACTGGTACTGGGTCCGCTGCCCAAACCACTGCCCGTGGCTATCGCTGCCACCGTGGACAGGGCACAGCGGGTAGCACTCAGCATGGAGGAGGCGGTCTGTGAGTAGCACTCGTCCGCCAGGAGCGTGCTGGCCGTGGCGCTGGTGCTGGGCGGGGCGCAGGCGAAGCACTCATCGCACGGACAGGCATCAAACTCCGGCTCCGGGTCGTGGCTCGACGATAGGTTAGTCAGGCTGCCGCCAGATACGGATCCGTGTCCGTGTCCGGGAGCTAGGGCATCGGCGGAAATACAGGCACAGGCAGGCGTTGGCGGCGGAAGATTAGGGGGCGGAGGAGTGGCGGGGGAACAGGCAACGCCCTGTGACGCTGGCGCGGATTTACCCTTGAGATCCTGGGGCAGCTGGTGATGGTGGTGGTGATGGTAGTGTTGGGGTTTGTTTTGGTGGTGCGTGTGCTGGTGTTTTCGCTGGTGTCGCAGGCTGAGATGCTTGATGCGCTGGTGGTGGCGACACGGCATGCTGTCGTCGGGTGGCCCAGGACCTGCATCGGCACCAGGTTCGTTTCACGATTCATTTCAGTTGGAGGTTCAGGTTCAGGTTCAGGCGGGCACGGGGTTCGATTTAAGATGGAGTTGGAATTGGAGTTACGAGTTTCCGGTACAGACAATACAACACAAGGCATTTAGATTCGGTGGCAGGACTTAGTCTACGTTCGTTTTCAGTTCGATTTTCGCGGCTCCGGAGGTTCTCAGGGATTCAAAATAAATTAAAAGTAAAACTATATAGCATACATATAGGGGCTAATCCTGACCGCTTTACCTAGACAGAACTCTAAAACCGAACTGCTCATCATCATCCTGATCAATCATCGTTGTCAACAAAAGCGAAACCAAAAGTTACTCATCTTTTTTTTTATAAATATTTTAAAAACAAAAGAACGAAAATCATATGTGGGGAAAAATGTAAGAAATTTGATACTCATGTGTGCGGGTTTATATTGCTTTTCTGGATCTGGATCTGGTTTTGGTTTTGGCTTTTTGGAATGTGTGTGAGTGCGATTGGGAATATCTGAATCAAGGAGAACTGAATGGCATCCCATGAACAACAGTGGAACAAAATATATAGTATGCATAATCGAGAGGGAACTCTATGATTCCATGGCTGATATAGATAGATAGATGTTGCGTCTCATTTTGTGCTTTCATTTGGATATTTTCGGTAGTTTTTCTTAGTTGCAGTGTAAAAGCGTTTCGTTGTTGTTGCTGTTGTTGTTTATCCATACGTTTTTCCAATTAGCTCTAATTGCAATGTATCTCCCCATCTTACCCAATTAGCGAAATGCGATGGTTTTTTGTGTGAAAAGCGCATGAGAACAGGTGCACATACACAGACACACTCCCACTCATTTCCACCCAACCACAAGCCCACACTCACAGGCAGGCTTTTCCGGGGAAAACCAACTCCGGGAAAATGCATCTCCCAGCCTGGCGACCGTGTGGGTGTGCTTGTGAGTGAGTGAGTTTTGCTGGAGAAAAATGTAACAGAAATAAGCGTTTTTCCAAGCGGATCGATGCAGGTGAGAGTATAAAATGAGACAACACAGATACGCACGCACACACACAATCAGGCACACACACAATATGTAGTTACAACAGTCTATATATATAGAGAGAGAGAGGATACATATGTATGTACAGTACATATTGTTATATTTATACAAATAATAGTTACATGTAAACTCGAAATAAAAATTAAAAGATAAGTAAGTATGAGGGAAGAACGACGGCACTCGCGCAAAAAGTCATAGTCAAGAGTATATATATATATATATATGTTTATATAGTACGAGTATATGCAATTTATGGGTCTCTATATCTTTACACATTAGCTTTCCTCCGTTCGCAATTTCGTCTCATTTTTTTGATTTTTTTTCGTTCTCGTTCTATTTTTTGCGGTGAATGATTTAAAAACTAATGGGCTTTCAAATGACGGAAAACCACAAATAACTTGTCCAACTCAATCGTATCCAACAAACCGAAAAGAAACGTACAACAATATATGTAAAATATACAAAGTGTTCACTGTACTCCTCCTCTCCAGCTTGTGTGTGTGTGTGTCTGTTAGAGTATCTCTTAGTTTCTTTTGTATCTTTTGTTTTGTTTGGGGCGACCTTAGACCGAACACGGAGTAATTGACCGGGGATTCGGGGGCGCCCTTGGCTGGGGCCAAAAATATATAGTGTGTGTGTGTATCTGTGTCTGTATTTCTGTAGATCTTTGAGATCTTTATAGCGTGTGAGAGGTCGGTGCGTATTAAAATGTACAACAAACGCAACACAAAATAAACAACGCAAATTGCCATTCCGGCTATTTCCATAATTTCTTTTTCCTTTTCATTGTTTTAATTGCAATTTCGTTCCCGCTGAATTTATAGCTTTATAGTTTGCCGTAAACTTTAATTCCATTGTTGTTGCAGTATACATATCTTTCAGACCATTTCGAACTACATAGATTCCCAAGGGGAATATCCTTCAATATCCCTCATTTCTGTGGTGATGATTGTGCGCATGAGTTCAGAACAGAAAATCAAAAAGGAACCTCAACTCAAGAGATAGTAAATAATAAAATGAAGAGAAAATAACTAAAAAGGTTTTCAAAATTCGAAAGGAATAAATAATGTAAAGCCTGAGAGGGTTTCGGCTGAAAATCGATTAGTTTTTAAATCTGTTTCTCGCTTCGCAAAGTACTTTTGGAACTACTGAAAACGTAATTATCGTAAATATATAGGGAATGTGACGGGATTCGTGTTAGTTGTAGGTCGGGCGCATCTCAGAGGGAGAGGACATAGATATAGTAGATCGAAAACATTCCACAGAGTAACTGAGTTCTGAGGAAAAAGGGAACCCGGTTCCAGGTAATCTCTCATTGGTTTCTTTTTCTTATTATTGGTTTTTTTTTTTTTTGTTAGTTAGTACAGAACAGTCGTGGGTAAACAATAGTAGATGTGGGCAATACACATGGTACGATTATATCAGAGCAGCATTCCGATTCAACAGTGTCTACGGTCAGAAGAACTGCTTAGAAATATGTATATATAGTAACTAAAGAACTGAAACGATATAGATTCGTGACTCGGAACAGGCATCACCTAACCAAACTAAACTAAACTAAACGGAACTAAGCTAAGCTAGACTATAAGCTAAACTAGTACAACTTATTAGTGGCAGGCAGACGACTTACTGTTGTTGGCCATCAGGTTCTCGTGGAGCTTATCCCGCTGATCCTCCAGCACCTCGCCCAAATAGTTGGCCACCTTGCGGGTGATCTGCTCCACATAAGTGTCCAGCTTGCCCAGATCATCGGACAGGCCCACCAGTTGGTCCAGGGTGCCGACCTAAGACAATAGTTTATGATTAGCCAGGGGGTTTAGGGGTTAAAGGCCACCACTCACCTTTAGGTCTGGTATATGGAACTTGTAGTTATTGCACAGATTGTGTTGCTTGCTGGTCAGGTTGTTCATGGTGTCGTACGTCTGCTGGCAGGTCTTGTCGCCCGGCGCCGAGATAATCCAGTATTCGGACATCATCTTGATGGCTATTATGTGGGCAAACAGATAGATAATGGGTGGGTGAGTGAAGCAGTTTGACTGTGACCTTGGCTAATCGATTTCCGGCCCCCCCTTGTAAATTATGTAAGTATCTTCCCCATTGCATGTCTTGAATGTTTCAGGCGATGAAAATTTAATTGCCACTGGCCTTCGGTCAATATTGAGCTTTTTTTTTGCGATCGACCACTGGAAATTTGCCATTTTCACGGACAAAGGAGAGTGTACCCAATGTCAGCCATTACAGCCCCGAACTCTGGCGCCAGACTGTCCAGCGCCAGAGTGTCTCTATGCTTCTATATACACTTGCACACACGTATTTATCCTTGGCGTGCTTACACAAACACTTGATCCTAGCACTCCTTGCGTCTCAACAGAATGGTCAGGAACTTTTCCACCGGGTTTTTTGGCATTTTTTCACCCCTTCACCGCCGTTACTGGGGTATTCCTCTACTCCGTTTGTGTTTTCTCTATTCGTACTCAGGGTGCCGCCACATTTCCGTGGTTCTCGGTCGGTGTTTCGAATTGAAATGAGTGCTGGCATAACGACCAGATGCCATGAAAGTCGGATACTCGGAAAGTCGGCAAGCCGAGGAGCCGAAGTGTCCGCGATCCGACCGTACCCGAAAAAAAAAACACTTGATGACGAAGCAACGAAAGGCGCCAGGGCCAAAACCAAAACGAGTGCTCAATTTGGGTAAGTGTCGCTGACTCCTGGGCTGCTTCGCCTCCTTCTGTCCCTGCTTTGTTTGCTCCTGCCACAGGGCGTATGAGTAATCACACAGCAAACGCCACGAGATATAAATCTAACTTTACCCAATTCGGGCCTATGTTAGGCTGTTATTACATAACCTCCACGACGATGGCCTTCAGAAAGAGACACGAAAACATAACACGAGCTCAAGGAGTGACAACAGGCCAGCTTTGGAGTTGTACCCTCCTCCCTTCAAAGCCGATCTCCGCCCCTTAAAAGTCAAGGCAGTGCATTGTCCTCGCCCAGGAAGCGTCAGGAGCAACAACGATTATCAGAAAGAAGGGGCAACAATCCTGGCAACAGCCAACGAGGCAATGGTAAATGGGAAACGGAAACACGCACAGAAAAAATGATATTAACAAAATTGGTTGGCGTAAACCTACATATAAATGATATCATATCATAGAGAAAGAGAGAGAGAGAGAGAGAAAGGAGGTTGCATAATTATGGCATATAATCATTATCAGTAATATTGGGAATATTTCAGTCTTGTTGAATCTGTTCCAATGACTGAGAACTTGACATTTACAAATATGCAAATCATCATTTATTATCTCATAAAGATATACCAGCCATACGTCACTTTTCATTATCTTTACATTACATTACATTATTTGATAAGGATATATGCATGACTTTTTTACAATCTATAGGACTATCTTTATTTGTGAGTTATGTAAATTCTTTAATCTATTACAAAGCAATTTCTTTGTATTATTATACAATTTGGGAGGTAGAGAAATTTATAACAGCAGAATTAGAAGATTATTTTCATATATCTTTAAAACTTTAGATTTTTTAAAGCCATTTATAAGCTGATGTTAAGAGTTTTGATTATAAAAACTAATAGATATTTTTATAGTTTTCAAATGATAATAAAAAAAGGCTTTTGGAACCTTATAATGTGGCACCTAACATTTCAAAAATAATCCAAAAAGAACGCATATTAAATGTCAACTAATACAATAGAGTTTTCTTTCAGTGCAAACACTACGTATGTTTATTTTTAGCAACGAAAGCTAAATTGCTTCGGGGGAATCGAAAGGGCGGTGAAAGTGAAACAGAGACAGGAGGAGGAGCACCACCAGGAGGAGGAGTAACTGTTATGCTGCCATGCTGGAATGGTGACGTGGATTGGCCCCGTCGAATCGAAAAAAAGGCAACGAAAGCCCGAGGACTGAGAGGCGCGGAGCGGAGGGCTCCAGCCAAGGCGTCGCCAAACAAGTGGAGACAGTCTGACTGGCCAACGGCTGTCGCTAATGGTATGGGCCCCGCCGTTGTCCTGATCCCGATTCCTAGTCCCGAGTTGGGGTAGTCCGGAGCCAATACAGGAAATTGCAATGAGGAAAACAGAGAGAAAGAAAAACAATAAAAGGGACACAAAGGAAAGCCAGGGGGGAAGCAGAAAGATGGCCACAGTGGGTGTGCGCCCAAATTAATTAATAATAATGTGCCTTCCGGGGGTCGGGGCAGCGGCAGCAGCAGCAGCAGCAGGAGCACGCCAGCAGGAGGAGACCCACAGATAAGCACGCGCTGGAATTCCAGCAGCTGTTCGGGGTTCTTGGCCATTTGAGTGAGCTCTCGCCGCATGTATTGGCCATGTTTGACTTTCGCCTCTAAATAAATATGTGGTCAGCTTTCACCAAGGTCCTTGTTGCACGCAATACAACTATTTATTACGAGTCCTTGTGCCGCCGCCGCTCTAAACAAATGTGGAAACGTTGTGTTTGCTTGTTTGCACAACATTAACCATTCATCATCGCTGCATGTCCGGGACGTGCTTTGTTTCCACTTGGCCGAAAATGTTTAAATTTTTAAGCAAGAATTTTTCACTTATTTATTTTGTTTACCCAGAGAGGAACACAGTAAGTGCGAGCGAGAGGGGTAGCTGTGGAGAGCCAGAGAGAGACGGCTCTCTGGCAGTGGAGAGTTTCGCTCGGCCTGTCAGCTGTTCGGTGACAGTCACATGACAGTTTTCGATCGATAATTTTCTGCTCACGGGTTTTCAGCACGAAAACCAAAACACTTTTCACATATTTTCCAAGCCCGTCGCTTCCCCCCCACTATCCCACCACCTGGATATTTCCAGATATATCCGCATCCTCACGGGATGCTTTCCACCGCCAGATGCAGCACTTGGGGCCCCGCAGGGGGGGCTCCGAGTCCGCAGAACTCAATTTTCAGGGTCACTAATATAACGTAGACACATTGCAGAACGCATTTTCTCACACTTTTGGGCTCATTATAAAACATTGATTGCACGGTCGCTGGGTCAGCAGACCTACTGCGATGCAGTTATGGGGGTTTTTTCCGACTTTTCACTTTTCCCGGGGCGACGTGGAAAGACTGCCGATTCCCTGGCGGACACTTACGTTTTAGCGGCTCTGGTTGGTTGGAACGACACAAGTGTGCTTTTTGTGCTATTTAAAAACAGCGAGCTGTCTTTTCTGTGCTAAAAATCAGCAAAACGACCGCCACCCACAGAATTCACGTGATAATAAGTGTGGCCAGGCGACACTAAGGCGGATAGCCTTAATGTGTCAAATGCAACGAATCGGTTATGTAAAACGGGGTCAAATTGCCACTTGGTACGTAAAATGGTGTAAAAATCCCAGAAAAGGTGTGTAAATATCCGCTTTCGCGGCGTCTGGGCAACTCGATTCCGCGAACAGCTGTTGGGGTGGCGGGCGCTTACCAACACTGCCCGGCTGAGGTGCCGCAGTTTCTTTGCCCAATTATTTTGGAATTAGTTTAGTTTAAAGCATATCGCCCGCCCTGGACCACTAATATTAGCAAGTGAGTGGAGTGTTCTGCATGCAAACGTGTCCCCGTGGAGTGCGACGGCTGGCGCAAGCGGCCAACAGATTGGCCGCTGATGTAACCAGAAGTCGGCTGATTGGGGAATAGAATTGCCGTGGCATTGGGATATGTCATGGCAATTAAGGAATAATTTACTTGTCCAGCTGTGACTATCTCCCCCTGAAAGATAACGGCTTTCAGTCACGGCATCTGCATCTGTGTCCAGTTTTTCCAGCCGGGTTTCGTAATCTATGCTCTTGAAATTCAGCTAATCGCACCGGTTCCCGTACTACACGTGTGAGTCTTTCGGGAGCCCCGACCTTTGGCCTCCCATCGCCTCCCCCTCCTCCGATTCCTCCTCTTCGGTTCGCCCATCGATTCCCCGAAAAAGGCAATGAGTCAAGAGCAAACAATTAGCCAAGTGCGCAACAGCTCCAGTACGCTGTGTGTTTACTCAAATATTTCCCAATTCCGAAGTGCTAAAAATAAGCGCCCAAAACCACAACCCCTCCTCCGGCTTCCCGATTCCCGCTTTTGTTCCCTTCCGCATAAACAGTGCATCCATTTCCATACCTTAACCCAGGGTCTAATTAGGAGCAGCGGGGTTAGGCTTAACTTTACATGAGGACACGTAGAGGAAATAGATTAAAATATCATAAAAGGTTCTGGATATGGTGAAATAGAAAAGATATTTCGAAAAGAGGCCAAGATATTGCAGTTATTTATTCCATATTACTCATAATTGCTTCAATATAAAGATCATACAATCGTGGTTTTATATTTTAGCTCTGGAATAGTTTCTAAAATTGTAATTTTCTGATTTCTTAGTTAGTATAAAAGCCAAAATATTGCAGTTATTCATTTCAAAATACTCATAATTTCTTTAATGTAAATGTTTACAATTCAATTTTAATGCAGTTGCTTAAAATGAACGCTAAATATTACGTGCTTTTATAAAACACCTTGTATACTTTAATTTTATTCATTTTTTATAATTATATTAGCATTTTTATAGCTTATTTAAAACGAATGTTACCCAGTTTTCTTTTATTTTGTTTCAAATTCCGTATAAATAATGGTATTGTATTTTTTAAAAACTAAATGGTTGTAATCACCGTATTAACAACTTCAATGACATTTCCTTTTTAATTTTTGTCTGTTACTCATTTAAATTTAAAATTTGTTATTAATAATTAATAAGCTTCCCATTTCTCCAAGTGCATTTTCAAGAAATCGGCCATATATCCTATCTTTTCGGTAGTATTTTCTGCAGTAAAAAACTCTTTGTTCCGTCGAAGCTTATCAGTTAGCAGCCTTTGATCTTTAGCCCATCGCAACAGCAGCTACAGCAACAGGGGCTATCTATAACTATATAGTGATATACGATCAGTTGAACCGACTTAGCCCCAAACGTAGACGTTCGTTGGCTCGTGCTCGGTGGCCGTATCTAAGCGATAAATATTTCCCGTAATTATGCACGATCGCTATTTGTTCGCAGCGCGCTTTCAGCAATTGGCATTGACTTACAGCGCCTCCATTGGCGCTTCTGTTTGCCGTTCGCGGCTTCTCCGCTGGCACTGCCAATTCCCCACCGTCATGGTCATATTCATATGCCAGTGCAGCGCCTTGATGGCCGTCAGTCCGCAGAGTGATTCGATCGTGTGAGCTTCGCGCTTGGCGCTTCGTAGAAACCCGCGATACCCGAAACCCAGTAACCAATACTCGCCGCGGCACAATAAGGCCAAAAAGTGAAAACCAAAAAGCTAATAGGCCTTCTTCGTGGTCGTCGCAGGTGCTAACAGTAACGGTAAACATGTCAATCGCTTTTTTGGGTTTGGATTTGGGTTTGGGTGCCGCCGCACTCTTATCAGAGTTATACAATATATAGACGACGCGTGTTCATTCCCCCTCGCTGGAGCGAGCAAAATATGCTCCCAGTAATACGGGGGCATTGGCGTAGCGAGAGTGGTTTGTGGGTATGACCTACATCTGGGTGAAGAAGAGACGCTCCCAACCTGTCCCACAATAATGCACAGAACGAAATTTAAAGGGGTTTTAATGGGAAATAAAATTGGATTATAAAAACACTGCTTTTTAAGCTTTAAAACTTCCGAAAACCTGCTTTATTTTATAGAAAACTAAAAGTGTTCTTAAGTTTTCAAGTTTTTATAGAACATTTTAACAATTTGTATTCTATATATTCAGAAATGCTTTTAGAATCGTTCTCGTTTCTTTTTTATTTCACAAATCAAATGATATATAAACCCAAAATCAGTGCAAAATATATAAAATTAACACTTTTCATTGGCTTAATTCATACAAAAACTTGAATAATTAGCATCTCTCATTAGTATTACGTTTTAATTTCTTGTTGTGTAGCTGTCTCAGCTTCCACGCCGCTGCCCGTTCCCCCAGTTTTCTGGGCTTGTCTCTGACTTGGCTTACATTTATTGTGATGATGCGTGTGTTTTGGTTTACTTTGCCCGGGCTCTCGCTTTGCTTTGGTTTGATTTTGGGTTCTCCTTTGTGAGCTTCGGCAGAGCGGTAAACTTTCTCCGCTATTACACCGATCTCTCTCTCTCTCTCGTTGGCCAGGGTCTCATCGCGGCGGGGAAATCACTTGGCCCCCTTCTTCTCAAGGCGGCGCCTCTGCCTGGCGCGACTTTGATGACTTCTTCAGACCAACTCAAAGTCACTGGCTTACCACACGTCCAACGCAGCTCGAGCGTGCAACAGGTTGTCTTCTGCCCTCGTCCAATTTGTAAGCAGACAAAATACGCAGTGATTGCGCGGGGAGAAAGTTAGCCCAATGCCAATCGTCAGTGGAATTCGGGCCACAATTTTGAGAACGCGATCGTACAAAGTGGATACTAACTTAGGACTGACTAAAGAACCATTACGAAAAGTGCTGCCACTTAGTTAGTAATCTTTACCGCATAAATCTCCATGAAATCTTGGTCATTACTTGGGGGGAAAAACTGAAAACATTTAGTGAAAAATTAGCTAGCACTTAACTTAAACTGTTTTTTTATGGTTTCCGTTTACTCGCGTGATAAATCAACCTAATATATAGCTAGAAAAATAGTTACTTATACTTAATTTTTATTTTGATTTTGCAGCGCTCAGGATTAATAGATTAAACCAATAAACAATCATGGCATCCCAGTGGCCCCAGAACGTTGGAATACGCGCCATAGAGGTGCTCTTCCCCTCCCAGTACGTGGACCAGACGGAGCTGGAGACCTTTGATGGCGCCTCCGCTGGCAAGTACACAATTGGTTTGGGCCAGGCCAAGATGGGATTCTGCTCGGACCGCGAGGATGTCAACTCGCTCTGCCTGACGGTTGTGAGCCGACTGCTGGAGCGGCACCACATAAAGCACTCGGAGATCGGGCGACTGGAGGTCGGTACCGAGACCATTGTGGACAAGTCCAAGTCGGTCAAGTCGGTGCTGATGCAGCTGTTCGCCGAAAGCGGAAACACGGACATTGAGGGCATCGATACCACAAATGCCTGCTATGGCGGCACGGCGTCTCTCTTCAACGCCGTCAATTGGGTGGAGTCCTCCAGCTGGGATGGCCGCCTGGCCCTGGCCGTGTGTGCTGATATTGCGGTGTACGCCAAGGGCGCGGCGCGTCCCACTGGCGGAGCGGGAGCCATTGCCATGCTGGTGGGCCCCGATGCGCCGCTGGTCTTCGATCGCGGCCTGCGCGCCACGCATATGGAGCACGCCTACGACTTTTACAAGCCGGACCTCAGCTCCGAGTATCCCACGGTGGACGGCAAGCTGTCCATTCAGTGTTATCTCTCCGCCTTGGACACCTGCTACCGACTGTACCGGAAGAAGTTCGGCCAGCAGAAGGAGAATGCCAATAAGAAGTGGAGTCTGGACAACTTTGATGCCATCCTGTTCCACACGCCCTTCTGCAAGCTGGTGCAGAAGTCCGTCGGCCGCCTGAGCTTCAACGACTACCTGCTGAGCAGCGAGGAGGAGCGGACCAAGCAATTCCCTGGTCTGGAGCGGTTTAATAGCTCCACGCTGGAGAGCACCTACTTCGACCGGGACGTGGAGAAGGCCTTCCTCACGCAGTCGTCGGAGATCTTTGCCAGCAAGACCAAGAAGTCGCTGCTTTTGGCCAACCAGGTGGGCAATATGTACACGCCATCGGTGTACTCCGGCCTGGTGTCCCTGTTGATTGGTGAGCCGGCCAAAGATTTGGTGGGCAAGCGCATTGGTGTGTTCTCCTACGGATCCGGACTGGCGGCCTCCATGTACTCGATAAGTGTCACTCAGGATGCGGCGGCCTTTGAGCAGTTCGTTTCGAAGCTGGACTACGTGCAGCCACTGCTCAACTCGCGCGAGAAGGTGGCTCCAGAGCAGTTCTCGTCGCTGATGGAGGTGCGGGAGAAGAACAACCATGCAGCACCGTACACTCCAACGGGCAGCATCTCCGCCTTGTTCCCCGGCACCTATTACCTGAAGGATGTGGATGCGCTGCACCGGCGCACCTACGAGCGAACGCCGACCATCAGCAATGGAGTGCACTAACCTTAGGTTAAATGGGGTCCTTGGTTCGGTTCTGGTTTCGCCTTCCAACTTGACAATAACTTTAATTTCCCCTTTCTCTCTCTCGACCAAACCCATGTAGACGGTATTTATAGCTGGTATGATGATCACGACCCCAGGGGTCGCTTTCCCTTCTCTTTCTTCTTATTCTACGGGTCCTAATCGCATATATAGTAGACTAAACCCATTGTTATTATTTATACAAGCTTGCGAATCAATATTTTCATCCAGTCAGACCTTATTTATACCATGGAACAAGTCTTAACTAGTGTAGTAGGTACACTGCAATTTATGCCTATAAATGTACAATACTTATACCTGTGCGTCAATCAATTGATTTACGAACAATAAAAATCAACAAAAAGTCAAAGTAAGACCGAGCTCTTCAGTCATTTATTTACCTGTCTTTATCAGTAGTTACTTAGCTCATCCCAAAGAGGGGGGAGGAGATAATCCATGGTGGAATGACGTATAAAAGAGGCTTATTCGATTTGATGGCAAAGACTGATTTGCATTTTCACAGATCAGAGCGCTGTAAACTTGTAGAAAGTTACGCCTAGGGCAGATGGTGAAAAGAGGAAAATAAAATAGATTAAAACGTTGGGCTTGGGCATCATCTCACAAGCGACATTTACCATTTGGATTGACGCGTGTGAAGAATTGGGCGTCCGTTTGGTAGACACCCAGCTTGCGGTTGGCGTACAGATCCTGCACCTGATAGCCATTGGGATTGTTCAGGCCCAGATCCTTGACGGTGAATGGGATCCTGTAGGGAGCACCATCGTCCCGACGACTCACAAAGGCCACGGCATACGAGTGTTGGCCACTCTTGGTGACTGGGGTAATAGGACGCTGCCAGACCTCTATTAAGTTGCGGGTCAAAATTCGACGTCCCTGGATGCCCAGTTCATCCTGATCCACAGCAATTACAGCTCTGAGCACAATATTACAAATATTAAATAAAGTCATTGTTGATTTTCAATATCTCTACGCACCGATTCTGCAAAATAGCCTTGATCTCTGGACGCACTGCAGCCAAGTCATTGGACATAATAAGAGGTGCGGCCATAATGGCCCAAATCGCCATCTGCAACTTGCTTTGATCGTAGCTGAGACCGTAGTTGCCCAGCAGCAGCATATCCGGATCATTCCAGTGTCCTGGTCCGCCATGCGGCTGAATTCTGTCCTGATTCTTTCCAAAATAATCTATGATCTGCATCAGAGACTCCAGGGAGTCTTCGATATCGTCCCAGTTGCGCCACAGATTGCAGTGTTTCTTAAGAGACTCATAGTCGGGTATTTCGCCCGCATCCTCTTGGTAGGCAGGCCAGCTGCAGGAATAGACCATGGGACGACCAGTTTCATTTAGGAGGCGTCCAAACTCGGGATAACCTTCCACCATGTCGGTTAGATTGGCATAGCACCCATCTAGCTTTACATAGTCCACATCCCAGTCGGCAAAGGTCTGAGCATCCAGCTGCATGTGTTTAATGACGCCAGGATAGCCGGCGCAGGTATTGGTGCCGAAATCCTGGTACAAACCAAACTTGAGCCCTTTGTCATGGATCTGTTAAAAAGGGTATTATAGGAGGTTTACAAAGTTGGAAAAAGATAAGTTACATGATCAGCTAGGGTATTTAGGCCATTGGGAAAGCGTTTCCTGTCTGGCACTAGTTTCTGGGTCCTGTTATCTCGATCCTTCTCTAGCCAACAGTCATCGATGATGACGTATTCGTAGCCAACATCAGCATAGCCCTCGGATACTAAAAGATCAGCATGCCGGCGGAAGAGGTTTTCACTGAGAAATTAACTAGTGAGTAAATGTTTGGGTTGATTATAAGTGTAAAGCTTTACCTGATGCATTCGTCGGGATATAATTTGCAGTCTGTTATGCAGCGGAAGCTAATAGAATATAATAAAAATAATACATAAGAAAATAGAGCTTGAACTTGTATGAGATTGTCAAGAAGACACCTTGGAAATTCCTTATTTGTTTGAAAATATTATTTCCTTTAAGATATTTATGACAAAAAACTATAAAAGTACATAAACTGTTTAATAAATCCAAACTTTAAACTATAAACACTCACCGCTCCCAAGACATCCAGCCCATAGGTGGTCTGTAATCGAGAGGAGGAGTTTCAATTAGAAAAAACAATCTGTTAATAATTAAAAAAATCTCTACTCACTTCAGCGCCAGACCATTGTCGAGGCCCACGGCCACCTGCAGCAGCAGGAGGAGGCAAAGGCCGCCCAGAAAGATTCTCCTCGTTCCGTACATCGCGAGCCACAAGCACAGACTGAATCCTGGCCTGTGAGAAGCCAGGGAATTTATATGCTCTTGAAGCGGCACTCCAGATAAGTTTGTTTGCCACGAGGAGGTGGAACCTGAAGAACGCCAAGAGTGGGAGGAGCTGTAGACCCGGCAGAAGGTTAGTGGCTAATTGCTATTGCAGTGGAGCACACCCATCGACTGATTTGGTGTTTGCCGGGTGGAACAAACAGCAGGCTTTCGATTACAGGAGGAGAGCCCCAGTCCCTCTTATCACGCCAAGTTCACCGCGATCACAGGGAGCAAGTAGCTCAGAGCGGCGGGCGTCGAGTGGAGCAAAGAACAGCGGCTTTCTGATATGCTTTTGTTGTTCAATTGCGGCGCAGGTTGCCGGTTAAACTAGCCTACAAAATGGGGGAACGAGAAAATGTACATATTCAGTGGATGAATCCTAAAACAGCTGTATTTACTGTTATAAGCAAGCTGTCTGTTCAAGTTCTAAAAATAGGTTTTAAATTATAATTATGTTTAATTAATGTATTAATCGATATGCAAGGCAAAATAGCAGCGAAAATACACTCAAATTTAAAATAATAAACTTATTTTATTTATTTAAATATTGACTTGAGAGTTTTTTAAGCAATTCGTTATGACAGGCGTACCTTTAACCCAATTCTGCAACACTTGGGCCGCCTTTTTACCTTACCTAAATTAAGACAAATGTTACTTTTTCCATTACTGCACTCAAATTGTACACTTGTCTGTATGTTTAACGTAATACTACCCGTAATGTATGTATGAACTATTTTGCTGAGTTAGCAAATGCAATTAGTGAACCCAAGTGTCGTTGCACTTCTGGCTGGGTAATTAAATTCTTGACCCAAATGTAGTCTTATCACAGTTTTCACTTACAGATAGCGAAAGGTGACAAATTAACACTGGGGTTGGGTTTGTTATTGATTTTAATCGGACACCTTTAATTAAGTGTTTTTGTTTTGATTGAATTGATTTCAAGCTCCGCGGATTCTAACTGTGAAATCCAATCTGAGGCTAAAAAATACCAGGAACCCAGTGTTGATGGTCGCATAGCCAAAATAAATAATTGATTACCATAATTTTAAAATTACATAAATTTGTATTAAATTAAATTTTAAATTCATGATATTTTGACTTAGTTATGTTGCCTTAGTCACCTGTATATTTAGTTTATATGCCCAGTGTGTGCTCTGTAAGCCACACTACCCATTACGAACTTGCAGTCACATATAAAGCAATCAGAAAATACAAATTAAAATATGGAAATATAAAAAGTTCCTAATAAACTAAGAAATCGACCCTCTTGTATAGATTCAAATTAACGCGCCCCCAATTCATATTTCAGCTAGAAAGTGGCTAACGTAGCAAGGCCGCTTTCCAACACTGACAGCTGACGAATAATAAGCGAACGGGGTCACACTGACAGATTTGGCGTGTGCTTCGTTTAATTTTTAATTTAATTTTCTGCAAAACCCGAGCCATGGCATTCCAGTTGCCCACCACCACATCTGCTCCAGCGGCAGGTGCGCCCTCGTTCTCCTTCGGCCTCAACACCGGATCGGCCGCACCAGCGCCAGCGCCTGCAGCAGCCGGCGCCGTTCCCGCCACAACCGCATCGTTCTCGTTCGGAGCGCCAGCAGCGGCTGCCAACATTGGTGGAGGGGATGCCGACACCGCCAAGGCACAGGCGCCGCCACCATTCAGCGGCTTTGGACTGGCGGGAGCCACTTCCACGCCCCTGAGCCTGGGGGGCAGCCAGCCAGCAGCCAATCCAGTTTCCACAGCTGCGGCAACGATTGGGACCACAGCAGCAGCGGCTCCACCTGCCTTTGGCGGCTTCATGGCTCAGCCGGCGGCGGCAGCGGTACCATCTGTTGCTACCAGCACGGCCAGTGCTGCTCCCGTAACAGGAATACTGGGCGGCATTGGATTGGGAGCCGCCAAGAGCACAGCCGCTGCTCCAACCACTCTGACAGCAGCTCCAGCAGCCAAAGCGCCGCTGGCGGGAACCGGAGCTCCCCTATCTTTAGGCACCGGTGGAGCCTTCGCTAACCTGACCACCGAAACCAAGACTACTGATTCGGCGGCCGTCTCCACAGCTTCCCAGCTGTCGTACAATCAGCTGGAGGAGCACATCAACAAGTGGACGCTGGAGTTTGAGGAGCAGGAGAAGGTCTTCACCGAGCAGGCCACGCAGATCAACGCCTGGGACAAGCTGCTCATCAGTAACAATCAGAAAATCGTCGAGCTGAACGATGCCGTGAAGAAGGTGAAGACCGACCAGCAGGTGCTGGACCAGGAGCTCGAGTTCATAGCCACGCAGCACAAAGAGCTCGAAGAGAGCCTGGCACCGCTGGAGAAGGAGTTCATAAATCTTCCAAGAGTTGATATGGAGCGCAGTCAGACCTATTTGATGGTGGAGAACCTGGACACGCAGCTGAAGCAGATGTCAGAGGACCTGAAGGAGATCATCGACAACCTAAACGAGACCAACAAGGGACAGGACACCACCGATCCTATCATCCAGATCGGAAAGATTGTCAACGCCCACATGAGCTCGCTGCAGTGGATCGAGTCGCAGTCGTCGAACATCACCAAGAAGCTCGACGAGATTGGCAAGATCCACGACTCCCAGAAGCGGGATGTCTACCGCCCTCAGTTCTAGCGATAAGTTTCCAAAAACCTTGTTAATTTGCAATTAAAATAAAATATCTTTGTAAACCTTCGTCTGTTCTGTTTCTTTATGTTTATATAACAGTTGCATGTTTTTATTATCGGAAATGCGTATAAAAATCGAACAATCTTCGATTAAAGCTAATAATTCTTGTAGTACTTAAGCCTATAGAGCGGCACCCGCTTGCCCTTGGTGGCGAAGGCCACGAAGCTGCTGTGCGGCGAGAAGGCCATCGAGGTCACAAAGCCCACATTATCCGTTTGCATGGGGAAGTTGGAGTAGATGGTGGCGCTGGGAAAATGTGCCAGCTTCATGGCATTTGGCGCTTCCTTCGAGCTCATGGCCAGCAGCTCCGAAGAGTGATTGAATTGCAGATCCGAAATGGCCGTCCTCAGGTTCATGAAGCGCTTCTCCGGCTGCGGCATGGCCGAGGCAAACACTGTGTCGTAGTCGTAGATATTCACCACACCCTCGTTGCTGCCGGTGGCCAAAAGGCGTTGATTGGGGGCCAGCTGAATGCACTGCCCGTTGATGCAGCCATCGTCCAGGAAGGAGTGCTCGATTAGGTTTTGCCGCAGACTCAGCACACTGACATTAGAACTCGAGCCGCAGACGAGAACCTTGCGGGAGTCGCCGGACCAGCACAGGCCTCGCACCTCGCCCTCCTGCTTGAAGCTGTGCAGCAGCTCGTTGGTGTTGGCCGTCAGAAGGTGGATGGCTCCATACTTCCCGGCTGTGACGATGAATTTCCCACAAGGCGACACTTCGAAGCGGTGCATCGAGTGTATGTTGCTGGGCAGCACCAGCTTGGTTTCCGTGGCCTCCAGGAGGTCATAGGCATAGTAGTGTTTCTTCATCGAACCAAAGAACGCCTTGGTGCCGCAGGGAGCAATCCGGGCGCAGAGTAGGGGAAACTTCTTGAAGCGCATGCTGTGCAGCTTTTCGTTCTTCTGTCCGTCCACCGTGTAGATGGTGGCCACGGAGTTCTCGCCGGCCACCAGAGCTGCCGTGCTCGAGGGATGGAACTGCACGCTGGAGACGCGGCCCTCAGCGTAGGAGGCTCTGTTCAAATCCTTGACACGCTTAAAGTTCAACGTTTTTTCCGGCAGATCAATGCGCCTAGCCTTGCGATCAATGAAGCCCACTGTCCGTAGCAGCTCTTCGTCGGATGACAGGTCATCGTCATCCTCCTTGACCCTCTTTTCCGCCCATTTCGGTTGGTTTTGGGTGCGCTGGAATCGTGCCGTCAGGTACTCCTTGTAGGATTTATCCTTGCGCAGGTGGTTCAGGGGTCCCGTGTGCTTGGTGGGCTTCTTCACATCGCCCACTTGGAGGTCCTCGTCATCGGAATCCGACCAGGCAGCTTTCCTCTTCTTCCCCGGGCCATCATCATCGGATTTTTGTTCCCTCTCTTCATCGTCTTCGTCCAGTACGGGACGACCTTTTACGGAGGCGGCAAGGTTCTTGAGGAATCGCTCCCTGTCCCCAAAGAGTACCTTTTCCATGGGCACCTCCACATAGTTCAAATTTTTCGCCTTGGAAGCCTTAGGGACGTAGGGTTTTCTTTGATTCGTGGCCGGTGGCTTTTCCTCCTGCTTGTAAAGGGCCATCAGGTCCTTTAGGTCCTCTATCCCATCGCTGTGCTCGTCGGAACTCATGGCTGCGTGTTAAAACTGCACAAATTATTGTTTATTTCGGGGCACAAAATTTACACGTGCATAGTGTGACCGCAGCTTGGCCGTTAAAATATACTGCCCTAATTTCAAAAATATACCAACTTCTAGTGGTTTTTAGTATACAATTGTATTTTTTATATAAAATATACCAAAAATATACAATGTATCGAGAATCGAAGGCTTATCGATTTCAGATATATAGGAATTGGCGCGTTTATTTAAATTTTATTGAAACCATAATATAATAATTTTATAGGAATTGAACATAAATAAATGTTCCTAACAAAGTGAATTTTATAATCAACTAACGGCTAGCTGTCTTCGCGGCACTCGTTCTCGGACTTTATCTTGGTGACTTCGCGTTTTTCGCCCTCTAGATAAGCCTCAGTGCATTTGTAGATTTCGTCCTCCGTCTTAACCTCGGTGGCCTTGGGAATTTCGTCCTCTTGCTTAACTTCAAGGACCTTTTGGGCTTCGTCCTCTGCCTTAACCTCGGCGACCTTTTGGATTTCGTCCTCTTCCTTAACCGCGAGGACGTTTTGGATTTCGTCCTTCAGCTGAACCTCGGTGACTTCGCTCTTTTCCCCGCACTTCTTCTTTGGGACTTCGTGGATCGTGTAGGAGTACTCGCGCTTCCTTTTCAGGCAGAAGCCCTGGCAGACCACCTGGTGGCGCATGAGAAAGCCCTCCAGCTTGTACTGCTTCCCACAGCGATCGCAGGTCAGCGTCTTTTTCTTGACCTTGGGATTTTTCTGGCGTTCCGCCTCCTCGGCCCTGGCCCTCTGGCCGCAATCGTCGCAGGCATACCGACGCCGTTCTTGTCCGTGCTCGAACTGTACCTTGAACTCCTTGCGGCAGAAGATGCATTGGAATGGGACAGGAAATGACTTGCTCCAGTGCTTAAAGTCCGGAACTGATTTCTCCAACTTCAAATGCTGGCGAGTAGCTGGTTGCGGGATTAACTTAGCTGGAAGAAACTTCTTGTGGTCCACACCGCCCAGGCGTCGTTGACAGGCCCGAAGATGCATGCTGAAGGCTCCGGACGAACCGATGCCATTGCCACAATGAGGGCAAAAAAACGGCATTGGGTAATTCTTGGGTAAAGCTAAGGTATCAGAATTTTCCACCTTCTTCGGTTCCGTCAAGGGTGCTATATACGTTCTGGTAACGATGCCGTTCTCTTCCGTCTCCGACAGCAGGATACCCTTATCCTCCTCCCACGAAATCCAGATTTCAGCGCTTGCCATGATTTGTGGCGTCAAGAAGGAAAAATTAAATATTGTTGAGTCATTCAACCTGATAGAAAGTAGGACCGTATATGAGGCTTTCCAATTTAGAGAAGGAGAAAGTAGTACCCTGAAAAGTAGACTATAGAAAATAGATCTTTAAAATTTCGGTTTTTCCGCCAAATTTTAAACATAATTTACTTTTAAAACTAAAATTCTTTGATAAATAGGTAAGGAATACGACTGAGAAATGTATCAAATAGAACAAGGAACTAGTCTCTTATGAAAAAGGGAGTCTAAATGTTTTAAAAACAATATTTATTACAAAGCTTTCAAAGGGTTTCAATGTTAACGGATTAATCGCTCATTTTATCAATAGGACTTCGATTATTTTTAGTTTACATGGTAATGGCAACATTTTACAGAAACAAAGTGTTGTAAAGAAATAATTAATTATTTGATTTGTGTTCTGGAAACATTTTATCTAAGATTTAGTTCATTGCTTAGGCCTGTCTCTTGTTGCCTTCTAAAATTCCGGAACATGTTTTCCGGATGTACCACCTCCTGTTCCACCTCCCCCACCTTTATGCTGTGGTAAGCTACGGATCCCTGCTTTATGACACGCGTAATGCGAGTCAAAATATGCAATTAAACAAAAACTTCTTGACTGGAAAAATATTTGCATAACTTGGGCAAACAAATGTCGGAGCACGTCGTCCTCGTCACCAGTCGCCGACCGACAATGCCGGAGTTGTTGTTAAACTTGTCATTACACACGCACAACCAGCTAAAAGCCACCACCCACTATTCATCCAGCCAGCCACCAGCTACTCTCCATTCACCGGGGGGGTGTGGTGCTCTTACTAAAGTGTAGATTAATAGCTGGGGTGGCCCTGGCTGCCAGAAATCAGAATCAGCGCTCGTAAAATTTACGTAAAATTCATTAAGCGCAACAAAAGACGCTGCCTGCGAGAGAAAGGGAGGTGGGAGGAAGGTTGGGACGGCCAAGGGGGCGGCTGCAATCGCTTAGAGACAAAGCCCTGCATAGTTGATAAGGCGCGTCCTCCAAAGGATACGGGGAGGTGGGTCGGAGGTGGATGGGGAGCCGGGTAACTGAGTGGGTGACTAGGTGATGGCATCTGGCATCTTGTGGTGCCCGCCAGTGTCTCCTGGCGTCAGTCAGGCGTCAAGGCCCCGCTGAAAGCAACAAATTTTTGTCGTTTCAAAAGGATGCGGCATTATTGTTGCACCCATCAAGGCAGAGCTACACATTAAGAAATAATGATCTATAAATATTTATAACACTGTTCCGTAAAATTAAAATTGACCAAAATTGTATTCATTTTTGGCTATAATTAGCTTGTAATTAGATAGAAAATGGGAAAATAAGCCTATATATTTGCTAATAAGGTTAATCTGAGTTTACCAAAGGCTAATTTGAGTAATTTTTTAAATTTTAGCTGACATTTGTTGAAATGCTTTCTAAAAGTATGTTTGAAATATCTAAAAGTTTGGAAAAGCTATTAGAAAAAATAAATTTGTAATTATTTTGGAACCTTGAAATAAGATTTTTAATAAACTGAATAATTCGTGATCATTAATTTAAATTTTACTTATTTTAAAAGTACCTCTGAGGCTTTGTTTTCATTAATAATGTAATTAAATTAAAATTCAGTTTACTTTACCAATATATTAAATATTCAACTTATTTCTTAACATATAATATTACCTACCAAACTTTTCGAATATCCATCTTAAGCATTTCACAATTTTGTGTGGTGTTTCCTTACCCCTATAACCAACCCGTCTCCGTTATCCTTGAGCTTCTGTGCAGCGAGGCAAGGCGGCAGAGCGCTCCTTAAGTAGCCCGACATTGCGGCAGATCCTTTCCCAATCCCAATCTCTGCTTAGAGCTCCCAGTCCCAGTCCCATCTCGTCGACTTCCACTGACTGACAGATTAGCGTGTTGACATTAAGTTTGTCCTTTGGCATTGCAACTCTACCGGCTGGCTTTAAGTATCGGGAGAAACCAGGCTCCAGCTCCGCATGCAAATGCTGATGGGCCACGCATTACGACATGTTGCGGTGGCCTTTTGTGGACGCGGGCTGTTGGGATGTGGGAGCTACTGCCGCCTCCTGTCGTCTGTTTGCTGTCTCCTGTCGCCTGTATTCTGTCTCCTGGATGATGGTTCCTGTGGCATGTAATGAGTTTTCCATTGGCCTGCACACGGTGCATCGGGTTGGGCATATGCCGACATCACCGCTGATTTGTGCGGCTGATAATCGGGCCGCGGTAATGCTGGTAATTAACGTCTTTCAGGCCACCGATATCGGGATACAATTGACAATCATTGTCAAGAGCGGTCCGTGCTTTATGCAGAAGCCCTCTAAAAACGCTGGCGAATAAATAGCATTAAGCCAAATGGAAAATCTGGCAACACAAAGCATAATACTACTATACTTTGTTGGGAAAAAATGATTAGCGAACAATGGGATTTGGGGGGACAGTTGGAGTGAAAGGAATAGTAACGATATATAAAGTAGTAATTTTTTGTTTATTAGCTTTAATATAATAGATTTATTAATTGGTAAAAGTTACAAACAAACGAAGAATACATTGATAATATCAAAGCAAAAATAAACAATAAGAGTGTTGATTTCGATCTTAACGATTGAGTACCTTTTCTTGTACAAAAAAATATATTTTTCCTATAAATATAACATAAAATAAAAACATTCTTAATCATTCAATATACTATAAACTATTCCCACATACACTTCAACTATCTTATTTACAAAGCTATTACTCCGATCGCTGATGTTACTGGCACTACCATAATTTCGCCTAGAGCAAATGAAAATGTTCGTGAAAAAAGCTATTGAAAGCTAGCTGAAAATGGCCACAAAAATTCGAGTAAAACGCTTTCGGCCAACGCTTTCATGTCATCCATAAAAATAGCAGACGCATAAAAAATTAATAAGCGGTCGCCGGTCAGCTAGTGAGCGACGCATTGCCGTCGTTCCTGTCTCCTGTTCCTGATAAAAGAAACATAAAGAAAAAACAACAAAAAATAAAGGAAAACCCTTCTGTCCCTTAACCCTCCTCCATTGTCCTGTCCACTGTGGCAGACATCATTAATGCATAATTCAAGCGTTTGCCAGTTTTGTGCTCGATGCTTTCAATATTCAATTTGAATGCCGCCCAAAGCGATTCGAAGCGGTTTTGTGTCTGCAGCATTGTTATATCCACCTTTTTTTGCTGTTGTCCTTTTTTGCTTTGCCGTTGTTTTCGTCTTCGCTTTCATGCTCGCTTATTTATTTGACCGCCCCCACTGCTGCTTTTCCACTCCCACATTTCCATCACCGAACACTACCTGCTGCATTATTCAGACGCCTCGACTCGGAATCGAACAAAATGCATGATAAACAATTTCCATGGTGGGCAAACGCGTTGAGGGAGGAGACAAGGCAGCAGGCGGAGACAATGGCCGCTTAGTCTCGTCATCTTACTGTTGTTTTTCCGAGCTTTCCCCCTTTTCTCTGCCTTCTAATCGATGGGCATACAGTGGCGATTGGAGAATTAGAACTTAGTTTATACTATGTATTTTCCAGCACAACAATTTACAAAATTCAACCTAATGCTAAAATTACACAAAGATATTTTCACAAAAAAGGCAGAAGTTTTTCGGAAGAGAGTCATCTGAGTCTTTTTTCATCAGGATCAATAACGAACAGTTTTCAGTGATTACTTTTATTTATTTTGAAATGAAAATTAATCAAGCAATTATTATTTATTAAATTGTTTGTTTGTTCCCACTGCTTGCTATTCTTGTGAATCCTGCTGTATGTCCTGCATGCGTTAGTTGTTTATTAAATATAAATGATTGTCACTTGCGGCATGTTCCTGCCGTGTCCTGTTTGAAGTAAAACAAAATGTCGATGGGTGATGATTGCTCGAATTTCCGAGAGGCAGCAGGACATTGGAAGCTCTTATTGCGATTCCTTGTTTGTGCTGCAATTGCTTGCAATTTTGACCCCCGTAAAGTACCCCCTTACAAGCCAAAAGGACATGTGCCCGGCACTTTTCTTCCTTATAGGCGGGCGTCGCTTTGACAAGTCATGCAATTGATATCGATACCGGCCATTTGGTCGTCATAAATGTGGATTGTCATGACGGCATCCCGTCATCAAAGTTCAGTTGAGTCCCTTTCATTCCGCCAAGCCACCGCTGTGCAATCATCGCCAATCGCTCTGATATTGACCACAAAATGCCATTAAAAAATAATTACGAATTTTAATTGGCATTTAGTTGGGGGCGAATAAGGAAAAAATTAAGTGCATTTAACATAAAATGTGATTACACCCGTTGCACATATAACAAAAAAAAAGATAGAGGATGAGATCAGCAATTAACTTTCAATCGGTTTCTCATACCTGATAAGCAGTTTTGGAATTTACATAAAATTTGTGGGAATTATAGAGGTATTTATAGAGCTATTCTTTAAATATTGATGATGTAAAAAAAATAAAAAAATTATTTGCAGAATTTATAATATACTCCCTTATTATAATTAGCGAGAAAAATATTTATATAGAAGCATTTGACTGAAATAGTTATCTTTTAAATATTTATAAAGGTTATTCATGATAATAAACACATTTTAAATATTGCATATATTGCTTTTTACTTAAAACTTTTATTAAACATTCTTCTTGCTGACTTTCTACATCCATTTAAAGAGCATTTCCAAGTCTACAAGCTCTCCCATCGACCATATTTTTTATCACTGATTACATTAAGGTTTTTATTTGATGCTGAATGGCTGTAATATGAGCCTGCATGTGTCACCTGATGCGTAACCGAGAGTATGTGCCTGATTGTAGTTGGCACTTAAAAATCAATTAACACTGGCTGCACCATCGCAAATCATTTCAAAAAGGCCAGACGACTGAAGAGCTCTTCAAGCGGCGGACAGTGATCAATAAAGGATTCCCCTATGTTAAAACTGGGTGCATTCCGTGTGATATTTATGTAAGTGCCGGCGGGTAAAAGGC